TTTGTGACACGTGGCAAGGAGGCAGTCCTCGTAGAAACTATAAAAAATTATTCTTAGACTAAAGAAAGTATCATATGGGAGCCTTTCGAAGAAATGGGTCCGGATAACGGAAAAGTACCGATAGTTTCGCTAACAAGGGAATGGTCAGAAGTCGAAGTGGCCAATCCATACAAGCTGCATACCAATCGATGCAGCATAGAATGCTGATTTCAAATGTGTCTTCCGTATCTGCAGAGCGCCTTTGTGGGTGAAGTTATGAGCAGCTTTACTGCGAAAAAATCGTCCACAAAAACTGCGAAATTAGGCAGATCACTGCTCTTTTAGCTCACCTTTAGGTACGAGCCATATGAACTGACCTAGTTACACGTTTTGGTCCAACAATGAGCCGAGAATGGCTTTGTATGGCCAAGTTTGACCTTTACACGCACAATTTCTTAGCAAAATGATGACATTCAACGGCTTATAACTTCGCCTACAAAAGCGCTCTGCAGATAAGGAAGACAGATCTGAAATCAGCATTCTATGCTGCATCGAACGGTATGCAGCTTGCTTGAATTGGCCGCTTCGATTTTTGACCATTCCCTTGTAAGTACAGAAATTTCCTTAAATTCACTTCTGTCCCTTCCACTCTGCAAAAACCATACTTCTGCCTCTGAAAGCAGAAAAGTGGTCTCTGGGGAAGGACAGACCCATGAGCTTCATCCGGCACGGCATTTTCACTGAAACTTTAGGCTCTCAAACTGCAAAAACCACAAAACTCAAAAACCACATATCTGGCCCTAAAAGCAGAAAGACAGGGAGCTTAGTCTCGATGGAAGAAAGAATTATGGCCTCAGGCAGCAAGAGACTTTTGCCAGAAGTTTCTGGGTGTCAATGATTATACAGAACTTGCTTGAAATTTACTTCTGGCCCTTTTGGTCTCAAGGAGAAAACACTAATAAGCTCAGCCAGCAAGATACTCTCGCTGAAACTTTCTGGGTGTCAATGTTTATTCATACTGAAACTTGCTTCAAAAATTTACTTCTGGCTCTTCTACTTTGCAAAAAAACCATACTTCTGCCTCTAAAAGTAAAAAATCACAAAGTGCTCTCGAGGCAGGACAGTCTCGCTAAGACGTTTGACCCCCTAGACTTCGCAAAAACCAGTACTTCTGCCCCTAAACGCAGAAAAGCCCAGAAAATCCAGTCTCGGGGGAAGAAAGAATCATGGCTCCAGGCAACAGGGTATTCTCGCCAGAAGTTTATGGGTGTCAATAATCATACAGAAACTTGCTTAAAATTTACTTCTGGCCATTCTACTTTGCAAAAACCACACTTCTTCCTCTAAAAGCAAAACAGTACAGAAAGTTTGGTCTCGAGAAAATGGCAGAACCATGAGGCTTCAAGCGACAAACATTTTCGCTAGGGCGTCTGACCTCCTAGACTTCGCAAACACCAGTGCTTCTGCCCCTAAAAGCAGAAAAGCACAGGGAATTTAGTCTCTAAGGAAGGACAGACCCATGAGCTTCTTGCAACAGGACATTTTCACAGAAACTTTCGGCCCCTTCTACTTCGCAAAAATCAGTACTTCTGCCCTGAAAGCAGAAAAGAACAGGGACTTAGTCTCTAGGGAGAGACAGACCCATGAGTTTCATCCGACAGGACATTTTCTAAGACTTTTGATTCCCAAACTTCGCAAAAAACCATAAAACTCAAAAACCACACTTCTGGCCCAAAAAACAAAAAAGCACAAGGAGCTTGGTCTCGAGGGAAGTAAAGATTATGGCCTCAGGCAACAAGATGTTTTCGCCAGAAGTTTCTGGTTGTCGATGTTTCATTATACAGAAACTTGTTTGAAATTCGTGGCCATTCTACTCTGCAAAATCCATACTTCTACCCCTAAAAGCAAAACAGCACAGATAGCTTGGTTTCGAGGAAAAGAGACTCATAAGCTCAACCAGCAAGATATTTTCGCTGAAAACTTCTGGGTGTCAATGTGTATTCTATAGAAACTTGTTTAAAATTCACTTGTGGCCATTTCACTCTGCAAAAAACAGACTTCTGCCTCTGAAAACAGAAGAGTGGTCTCGAGGGAAAGACAGACCGGGAGACGGTCAAGAGGCGCGATTGTTCTGGCTGTCACCAACTTAAAACTTCAGTTTCTCGCTATGGGAGTGTTCAAAAAGTGTCGAACAAAGTCCATCGGCTTACTAGCTGTTTGAAGTAACCATTTGATAAGTTCGACGACTTTTGCTAGAAAACTGACCGAAATAGTTACAAAGTTGCTATAAACTGCATTTTCATGGGTTTTTGACCTTCAACAATTTTGTTTTGAATCGCTTTCAAAATGATAAGATCGAAGAATTTTTGCAATTCTCTAATGTACTTCTTTTGAAATTTCAAATAATCCTGGAACTTCATAAAACACTAAGTATGTGTATACTGCCCATCTGGTGATAAGAATCGCGCCTCTTGACATACATTTAAACAGACCCATGAGCTTCTTGCGACAGGAAATCATCTTTGCTGAAAATTCTGGCCTTCTGAACTTTGCAAAAACCACACTTTTGTCCCTAGAAGCAAAAAACAGGGAGCTTGGTCTCGAGGGAAGAAAAGACTCAGGGCTCAGGCAGCAAGATATTTGCGCTAAAAGTTTTTAGGTGTCAATATTTGATTATACAGAAACTTGCTGGAAAAATTACCCTTCTTCTCAACCATACTTCTGCTAAAAGCGGAAGCATAAGGAGCTTGGTTTCGAGGGAAGGAAAGAACTAGGGTTTTATACGACAGGACAGTTTCGGTAAGATTGTCCTTCAAAAGAAGGCGCTGGGCCAGCTTCTGTTCAAGAAATGAGCTCGTTCACTGGCAAGACATCATCGAAGAAAATGCTGCTTCGTTTTTACGGACATATCTGAGTTTTGGGCTGCTGGAAGACATAAATTGACGCTTCCTTTAACATGGCACTTTTTTGGAAATCAATCTGAGTTTTGGGATGAATCAGCTGCTCTAAACAGGTGCTTCGAGGTAGCTTCCTTTTTAAGAGCTGTGGTTTCTGGGCAAAGGTATGTGCAAGAAAACAGCAAAGATGCTTTGCGCATAGTCAGTGGTAGTAGCTTCTTTTCCCAAGAGCTATAAAGCTGAATGTCTGTTTGTATGTATGTATGTATGTCTGTCTGTATGTATGTATGTGTGTACGTATGTTCCGAATAGAAAATTCCATTTCTGAACCGATCCGGACCAAACTTGGCACACATACACTACGGGCCCCGGCGGGTGTCATAGGCTACTTTTCGTTATCGATCGATATCGATTTTATCGATTTTTATCGATTTTTTTGCTGAGTTCACCTACGGGGCTGGGAGTTGGCACAGGGGGGTAATCGAGCATGGGGATTCCGAATACAATATTGGTTTTCAGGATTATCGATTACTTTTATTGATTTTATCGATTTTTTTGCAAAGTTTGAGCTACGGGGCTGGGAGTTGGCACAGGGGGGTAATCGAGCATGGGGATTCCGAATACAATATTGGTTTTCAGGATTATCGATTACTTTTATTGATTTTATCGATTTTTTGCAAAGTTTGAGCTACGGGGCTGGGAGTTCGCACAGGGGGGTAATCGAGCATGGGGATTCCGAATACAATATTGGTTTTCGGGATTATCGATTACTTTTATCGATTTTATCGATTTTTTGCAAAGTTTGAGCTAGGGGGCTGGGAGTTGGCACAGGGGGGTAATCGAGCATGCTGATCATCCCAAGGGGGGTGATCAGCATGCTCGATTACACCCCTGTGCCAAATTCCAGCCCCCTAGCTCAAATTTTCAAAAAATCGATAAAAGCGATAAAAGTAATGGACGATCTTGAAAACTAATATTGTATTCGTAATCTGCATGCTCGATTACCCCCTGTGCAAACTCCCAGCCCCGCAGGTCAAACTTTACAAAAAATCGATAAAATCGATAAAAGTAATGGACGATCCTGAAAACTAATATTGTGTTCGTAATCAGCATGCTCGATTACCCCCCTGTGCAAAATCCCAGCCTCGCATGTCAAAATTTACAAAAAATCGAGAAAATCAATAAAAGTAACCGATAATTCTGAAAACTAATATTGTATTCGGAATCCCCATGCTCACTTCCCCCCTGTGCCAACTCCTAGCCCTGTAGGTGAACTCTGCGAAAAAATCGATAAAAATCGGTAAAATCGACATCGATCGATGACGAAAAGTGGACTGTGACACCCGCCGGAGCCCGAAGTGTATGTGTGCCAAGTTTGGTCCGGATACGGCGGAGCCGGGTAAGCCAGCTAGTTACTCTTATTCTCTGATTTCCTCTTGTAAATTTGAAAATGATACCAATCCAGACTTCGTCTGTACTTTAGGTCTTCGCAACCTTGGATACTATTCAAGCCAGTCGTTAGATAAGCAAAAAATAACTGTAAATCCGAGGAAATTAGAAGATGATTTCAAGAACGAGAATTTAGAACTGATATGAAATTACTGTGACGAAGATATTGAGGGAATTTATCACACATAAAAAAAATCAAAATCACAGTCAACTATGATCATTTTCAATAACGTTCTGTTCTTCAGATATCATCGAATAGTTGAAAAAGATTATTCTGTTTCTACGGCAAAAGCGTTTTTGTGCGTCAGGTAATCAGCTTGAAAATCGTTGTAAAATAAAAACGACTCCGGAACACTTATTTCCTTCATAGTTGGTAAAGGTTCGAGTAGGTAACTTTATTTTGTCGTACTTGGAAGTCGTAGAATCTTGAGAGTCTGTGGCGAACTTTTGTTTGTGTTCGAAAATAGCCTTTCATGCGTTTTTATCCTGCAAGGACCAATTTGTGCGAGTTGAAGAAGATATTTAGCACTTTCAACGTGCACATCCACGCAGGACCACCATAACCTCAGACATATTTCCAAAAATACAGTTTTATTTCAAGCACACATAAGTACAAGTTGAGCATAGTAAATCATTTTTCTCCTTCAAAAATTCTTCAGCGTCCATGACCAACACCTAAAAAGCTCGGCCGTACATTCTGTTTCTTGTGAATGTCAAATATGACTTACCATAAATACCCCCAAGTTTGCCACCATTTTGCTGATAGCTGCCTACACCTTGTCCTCCACCTCCTTGTCCGGGCCATCCTAAAAAACTTTTTTCAGGTAAGAGCTAAAGAACTCGGATGAGTTGTACCTCCTTGTTGACCTCCTCCGATGTTTCCGGCGCCTTGCTGTCCTCCATTGGGCCAGCCTCCGGATGCACGTCCCGGCTGTGCTCTGAGCTCCTGACCTGGAGTGGAATTTTTGATTGCACGATAAGGTAAAGAAACCTCTCACCTGGGAGGTTGTTGATAATTTGGCAACTAGTCTCGATGACTAAGACAGAAAAGGAAAATATAAGCATTAGATGCATTTTTCAAATTTGATCACACCAAGACCTTTTAAGAATATAATCTTGATTAGTTCCTTCAGGTCACAAGTTGAATATGTGGAAATTATAGTGGAAAGATAGAAGAAGCTTTGTAATTGATAACACAAGGTAGGAAACAAAGTCTATAAGCAATCAATCAAATCCTGTTACTTGTTGTCGTAAATGCTATTCTGCAAGTGGACGAAAATTAGTGAATCGGTGTGTTTTGGTAGAGAGGGAGCGGAAAGAGAATATGGCGCATAAAGCAGCTAAGACTACTTTTTTTTGTTTAGAAAAAGTTTTTTTTGCTAGGTACACTTCGCTTCAATCACTTCTTATAGGTCAAGTAACAATAGCGCTTTTCATACTCCTCGAAAAAATTCCTCTTATAAGGTTAGAGGCTTAAAAAACGTCATGCCTCTCTTCAAAGTTGCACCAATACGCTGATTCTACTTCAGAGTAAGAATATTATTTTTCTGTTAATGTACTTACAGTCCATTTTATCTCGCAATTCTTTGAAATTTGTTAGATTACTTAATATTAAAGGTAAGCTGCGGCCGTGAGAGTTCTTGGTCTGCGAGTCGTTCATAGTTTGAATTAAGTTTTTTTTTACAACAATAGACATATCGAAATTCAACATATTGTCGCTTTTAGAATTTTAGGCCGAAAGTGATTCTTTCTAGAGTAAAACGAGTACATGAATTTTTTTAGTCTATTACATGTTTTGTTTGTGCGAAAGGCAGAAAGCCAATTTTCTGTTTCTTTTCCTTAATTTTCGACTTCGAAGAAACTCTAGCAAGGTTATGCATAACTGGCACTTGCTGATTAAGTTAGCTTCAAATTCACTAAGCGAGAGTCATGCGAGTTTGGAGCGATTGGTTTTAGAGCTTATTATGTTCCTGTAGTCCAAACACATTTCTCAGCTTTTCAGAAGTTCCTGTTGCCAAGGTAACCGAACATTTTTTATGCCAACTACGATACTGCTAAATAAAGCACTGCTTTTTTCGTAGAAAACCATAGAATTTGTCCTTACAAATTTTTATCGGTAGCTTATTTAGAAGGTCTACGGAGTTACGCTACGGAGTTTTCTCATTCCAAGGATGAATGATCTTAGCAAGTTTTACTACACAGTTTCCTTGAAAACAGGCTTTCTTGCTGATGTGGATGCTGAAAAATGCTTAGAACAATGAGAACACCAAGCATTACAATTTACATTTTGGGCACACTTTCCATTCCTACAGTCTTAGCAGCGTATGAGCATAACATTCTTGTTTAGGCTTTAACTCACATCACTCATTTGAATTTTCATTTTCTGCCTCGCATGAGTTTTCTTCAGAACTGATCTGTTTAGTCTGACTCGATCCTGTATTAAGAGGGCAGCATTATGTTTGTAATCGATCAACGAGTTCTCCGCCAATATGTTGAACAAGCATTTATACAAAAACTGGATAAACAATAATTTATCACACATAATGTAGCGGTCTTCTAACAAAAGCAAGCTCCTTATATCCATCCCGACAACCACCCTGAAATGTAGCATTTCCACTTCTTAGTATATTGAATTGACTAAAAAATGCTCACCTCCACGTCCGCCCCATCCACCGCCTCGTGGCCAACCTAAAACGTATACTTCATAGGAAAAGCTTAGCTGGATAACCTTCCATTAAGCACTCTGTCAAGCGAGCGTATGGTAATATTATAAATCAAAAAATTTTACTACTGAGATGAAGATGCTTACCTCCTCCCCCTCCTGGACCCCATCCTCCTCGGCCACCATTACCACCGGGACCACCGCCGCCCCAGCGGCCAGGACCTCCTCCTCCACCCCATCCTCCACGTCCGCCACCATTCCATCCTCCTTGTCCTGGTCCTAAATATGTTCTTACAATTAGCACAATATGTATAAACAATCATTTCCATACCTCCGCCTCCTCCCTGCCATCCTCCACCTTGTGGCCCACCCCAGCCTCCTTGACCTAAAATTGAGCAAATCCGTCCTAATACTCAGCAAGCAGTCCTTACCTCCTGGTCCGCCTCCTTGCCTATTTCCTCCGCCGCCTTGTTGACCTCCCCAGCCTGAGTAAAGAAGAATGAAAGACATGAATTCAATAACATCTATTGTATAAGCAGTCTCGGAGACTTACCTCCTTGTCCGCCTTGCCGATTTCCTCCACCTCCTTGTTGTCGTCCCCAGCCTGAAATTACGAGTAAAAAAGGATTAATTTCATGATTTATGGATTGCTTACCTTGGTTACCTCCTCCCCATTGGCAGTTTATTGCAGAGATCAACGTAAGGGCGACCAGAATTATCGATGTATACATGTTTATTGATTGAGATAATTCTTAAAGATCCTATAAAAACACCAGAATAGCTGAGAAACTGATGAAATTATTTGACATGCTATTACAGAAGGAGAAAAGTTTTCCTCTACTACATCTGGAAAAGCACACTTTTATAGCTGCAAACTGGTTACTGTTGTTTATGAACAACATGTTGTGAAGGCAATGTACTAATTTCTGAGACTTCTGTACGCACCCACAAGCATATATAAATAGAAATGCTATGAAAGAACATAGCTTGGAATCGTTTCCCTTTGTTCAAACTGTCATGGTTCGTCATATTACACTTACAAGATGGAAATTCATTTTCTGATACACTTTTTCCGCATTCGTTGACATTTTCCACGAAAACTTTTGTGAACTTTTGTAGAAGAGTATTCAAGCCTTCTGATGGCACTATCAATTTCTATGGATGTCAAAGTCAATGTTAAAACTCATTGAAACCACCTAGATTGCTTCAGAACTTGTTGTGACATACATATTAGTAATTGTTGTGTCCCACGCACAACCTTTGCCCAGATTCACCTATAAGTAAGATTTTTGAGACACTTGATGCCCTTCAGTAGCGAGAATTCCGCTTGCTAAACTAATAGTAGCTGTGAAAATTAGAATGCAACATAAGTCTTGCACAGAAAATTCTACTATCGTTCAGAAATGCTTAGACAACCGTTCCAGTCCAAACAATATAATTTTTTGCTCATTGTATATGATACACGTAGTACATTATCATGCATATCAATAATCTTCATCAACAAAATCAGATTTCGAAAAAAGAAATTCAAAAATTACAACTTCTGGTTGACTCAATTGATCACCATGCTTACCTCAACGAGGAAAGTAGGTAATAATAAAGGTTTTCGAATTTATTGGAAAAATTTAGCTTGGCAGTTCTTCTCTATCAACTTTTCTCGCCGCTCTGCACCTATAATATTTTAAGTTTTGAGTACTATGAAAAGACGCAGGATTTCCCTTCTTGATCGTACATTATTTCAGACAAAGTCACTATATTAGGAGAAATTTACGGAACCCAAAAATTTTGGTGCAAGATTTATATTACCACCTAATGGTAAACATTAATTATTGTTAGCCGGCATTTATTAAATTGAAAAAGAGCCCATTATTTGTCTATATCTCCAATCCTTGTCCCAAGTGGAGAGATCCCCGACTCAGTTGAAACCGTGTAGAAGCCCGAACCTTCCGGATACCAATGGCACGTTTTTTTTTTTGGAAGAAAACCTTGACTGCGCTTATAGTAGTTCTTGTGCAGAAACCTTTGTGTTTCATCACTTCAAAACAAAAGAGGCGCTCGAAGAAGTAAAAGATGGCAAACCTTTATGTAATACAGTTTCTTTTAGCTGTTCTACTCACACCCGAATCAGATAAGAATTGCGAGCAGATTACTATTTTCAGCACCTTCCAGCAGCGGAATAAAGCAATCTTTTCCTTTCCCAAATATTTCTTCTTTTTTTATGTTGTTTGGACTTCCATATCCTGCATACCCTTAAAATCACGTTGATTAGTCTGTACAAGTTCTATGGAAACTGCTTTGTCGAACGTTCACATTGGTCAAATACACCATCAAGTAATGCATAAGTCGTTTATGTTCAGAAAGATGACTCAAGGACTAGCTTGATAAAATGAGGAAAAAGACGATGAATAATCAAATTTTTCGTAGATTCGGTTGTTTAGCTGTATATCTATGCGTTTCTAAAATCTCCACCCAATTTGCCTATACGTAACAAGCTGGAAAAGTAAAATTTGGGCAAAGGGTATGCAAAAAGTTGTAGATACTAACATAACAATTATCTGCTCTTTGTAAAAGTTTTTACGAACTATAACAAAATCTTCAATGTTTCTAGGAAGCATCCACGAAACTGCAAAGATGTCCTAGCAATCATATTACAAAGCAGGCCCTACTCTATCACTTCCGTACATGTAGAAATGCAAATTTGAAACAGATTTATTTTGCAAGAAAAATCAATTACAATAATTCAAAAGGAAGGAGATATCTAGTAAAAACTACCAATTAGTATATAACACTGTGTGCCTTTCTCGAATGTGAGCGTGTTAGCGTAGCCAACCCCATCCCCAACCTGAAATAGCGGCTCCTCCTCTAGTACTTTGAGTTATATTAGGAATCTCACCTCTTCCGCCCCAACCAAAGCCGTGCGGCCACCAACCTGAAACTTCACATTCAGATCAATATATTTAGTAGGTAGACTACAGATGAAGTTGTTGGTAAAATAACTGCCTACCCCCTCCTGGACCCCATCCTCGGCCGCCCCAACCACCACCGCGGTCATTGCCTCCGCCCCATCTCCTGCGTCCGCCATCATTCGGACCTCCTCTGCCTCGACCTGTACAAGATTTAGCAAATTAAGCATCAATTAATTTGTATTACCTCTGTTTCCCTGCCATCCTCCTGCTTGTTGCCCACGGCGGCCTCCTTGACCTGCACATAAAATACAATAGAACTAATATGGAAAGATAAACAGGTTAACCTCTTTGTTCACCTCCGCCTCTTTGGCGATTCCTTCCACCTCCTCTGCCTTGCCATCCTCCACTTCCTTCCCATTCATCAACTCCTCCTCTCAAATCGTCTCTCCAGCCTGAAAATGTGGAAGATTCACTCATTTCTACATCCTTATCTGAAATGCTTACCATAATTACCCCACTGACAGTTGACAACAGAAATAAATACAAGGGCAATCAAGAGAATTGAGAAAATATGCATGCCCGCTGATCAGTGCAATTCTCGGAGTTCTGAAATGAGGTTATACAAAATCAAGAAGCAAAAAGGTTGCTGTGTAAGATCCTAACAAAGACTCCCTATGGTAGATAGCATGGGTAGATACAAACTCTCATGGCCTGGAACTGGTTACTCATGTTTATACCCATTATTGTGATATGCACTTTGATTTTTGACGAATTTTACGCACTAGTATCGATATGTCTCGTACTATGTGTTCGCCAAGAACGTTGTACTTTGAATGCGCAATTTGTATTAAATTTCAATAAAAAGTTTGCAGGACCTTCGTGTAAAATCTACAGATTGACCTTTTCTTAAATTTGCCAAACGCCAGAAATTTTTAGTGTAATTTGTTGAGAGAAAAAGTCTCATTAGATCATAAATCACTCATTAAATTAAAAAAGTGCGCTTTTTTTTGAAAGTCGACAAATTGATAATACATGTTGCTAGGTAGCTACAAGAACTCAGACAATTGCAAAGGACTTCCGGCGCAAACGGAACTTCTAAAATTCTAGGGGACGCTCCTATTGGTCCCTGTGTGACTTGGACCCCGCACTACCTGGCAGTTCCAATAGGAGTGTCCCTCGGAATTTTCAGAAGTTTGCACCGGAAATTCTTTGCCATTATCCGAAGCAAACCCGAGAGCGGTGCCAGCAGTAAAAGATGGAACAGTATAGGCGATGTAAGTTTTAGCTACTAATACATTGTGATGTTCATCGATGTGCTAAAGTTATGCCATCCGAAATTTTCGGTAAAGTCGTTCCATCTCAATCAAAATCTTTTCTTGTGGCCAAAACTTACTTTTCTTTGCCGTGCTAGGGTACAGAGCTTCAAAGTCTTGGAACCTACTTTCCAGCACTCTGACTTGCAAACCTAGGAGGTTTTGATCTAAATTTGTATGCCATCTAATGCTGCAGTCAGCCTCTACAAATTATATTTTGAGCTCTGATAGTTGTATGTTATAAAAAGTGAATTAACAAGCCAGTACCCTGAAAGCAAAATATCAAAGTTGCTAGTGTTCGCAGTTTTTTTTCGTCATTAAAGAGTATTCTACAATATGCTAATACATGCGATGTAGGGCAGTCCTTGCGCTATCATACCGTGGTAGTTGTCATTGACAGAAACTAGTTTCTCGTAAACGGAAAATAAAAATCTGTTAATGCTGCAGCGTGCCAGCGGCCATCTGTCTCCGCCGCTGAGTTCAGGCTATATTCTTTCCATATGTCTTCTGCGGTTTTTCTGAGTGAAGGTGCGTCACTCCGAAAAAATTTTTGGGATGCTTTCAAAATTTTGTGGGCCCATGGCCACGCCCTCGTAAAAAATTACAAGGGTAACTTTGAGAGATTTCGCGCCTCGTTCTCGAAGGAGAGGGGGGAGGCGCGTTAAATTCCTTCAGTTAAATTTCCATACATTTCCCAAGTAACATGAAGACTTTTTGAAGTTGTTGTAGCTAAAAGGTTGCTCTTTCATGTCGCACTTCTGTAAGTGAAACAAGCATTAAAATAAAGAGTGGGCCGAATCTCGTTACGACTACCCGCGCGCCAGAACTGCACTCGCCAAGATTTTGAATATCTTGTTGAAGCCGAAGAAGCTATCTTGCTATTTGGGAGCGAATTTCACTCGTAACTTTCTATTTGTTTTCAATTTTTCGTTATTAGGTACATCTTTTTGAGGCAAAGTACTAGACTCCCAGACTTTTGACGCATTATGTAATGCAAATCTATGATTATGATTACTCAACATCTCATAAACCTTCGTCTGTTTCTATTCACTCCTACTCCTTGTATCCGCCAAAAAAATTCGCATATGTGAAAATCAAACATCCCTTTATGCTCCTGCAATGACGCAACAGTGGGTTGTGCCGCCGGTCGTCCCAGTAGTGCAGGAAAGCTACGCAGAATGGCCCGGTCTGCACTCTCTAATTTAAATGGATTGGCGGCTGTGTTTGTAACGATACAAAATGGTTATGCTAAACACGTATCGCCTATCTGCCTCCATATCGCTTAACGCTTGTAATGTATTCAGTGGGATTCCTTTGATCGTGTTATGTTGCGCTGTTCTCAATTAGCTTCATAATGAGATGCGTCAAGTGTCAAAAGATGTTTAAGTATTCGCTGTAAGACAGTCTTGACGAGATAGTTTACAATGTTGAGAGAGTATTCCCTATATAAGCATGCCTCGATTGTATTACTTCGCTTTTCGCTACTATCAATAAATCTGTGCTGGACTCACGCTCGCCGATCAGAACAGGCTGGAAGACGATCAACGAGCACGCTCGCAATCGCAACGCAGTCTGCGTCTCTCTGCGATCGTGCTCTCTGATCATCTCTAGGCCTCGAAGCTCCGCCTTCCAGCCGCCGACCCCGTTTAATTAAAGGGTAGACTGACTAATACACCTGTATTTATTTATTTATTTTATTTATATACACACTCATGGTGCACCATTAAAAAGACAGAAATCGAAACGAAAAATCTGGACACAAAAGAAAAGACAAAGACCAACAAACCTCAGTCACAGAAGGAGAGTTATGCAAATAGAACGCAACACAAATACCGAAGCCCCTGCCATAATGAGATAGACATTCAGCTATATACACCAGCAAAGCGAAGGAAAATGCGCTTTGTCCGATTTCCTAGAACCTTGCTTTCTTTAAAATTCATTAAGACCCTGTTTTTGGATGTCAGCGAGCCCCCGTAGCCACTTCATATAGTAAGAAACAATGTATGCAAGCGGTAAAAGCAAGGACTCTTCACTTCTAAAAAAAGGATTCAGTGATTTGCAGAATTGTACAAAATTTGAGATGATCACATAAAAAACGGGAAAAGGTCTGAGCGTTTGCGTGACTGAATACTTGCCCGATGATAGGCGCAAAACTTTGAACTTGCCGCTTGGCACGCATATGATTCAACATTGAGTGCAAAATTTTTGCAAATGAAACAGATCGGCTAAGAAAGCATGAAAGCATTCGAGTACTGCCATGAACCCGGAGATGAAGTATAAGTGTTTATCGATAACTCCCGACTTCCTCCCATTTGTATCATTATATGAGTTATGCCTGTAGATCGACTTTGTGCAACTACGATATGATTTATTCACCCACTGACACTGTTCCTGCATCCTGTGCCGATTGAGCAGCGGTGATCTTCGGGTGTGTCCTTCTACAATGACATCTTATTTGATGCAGCGTGGTGAAGCCGAGAAGTGGCAGCGTCGGAGTAGAAGTTTGGTAGTCTGGAGTTATGAATAACATTTCGAACCATTTAGGCCCCTGAAGAAGGAACCAAATGTAAAGCCGTGATTGGAAAGGAGCAACTTCCTTTCTATCACTTTGCAAATGTGTTAGAAATAAATTGACAGTCACAGATTATCTCTTTGTTTTCTAAACTAATATGAATAAAAAAGCTTGTGCAACTAGATTCTAAACATTATTATGCTAGTGATCACCTACTATAGTTACGACCGAGATATCTTCGCTTTATAATGCACACGTCTAGCCTTGCAAAATAAAAATTGAACACAAATTTGTTCGTTTATGTTAATTCCTTAAGCCCCAAGGAAATTTATGCCTGATATAGCCCTGTAGAAAAGAATAATGCAAGATGATCAAACATTAAGCTTCAAGCGGAGCGATATTTTATTCGTTTGTTTATTTGTACAGAAGAGTATCAATCACTATCGGGTGGAACATCGAGGTAGCGGTTTTCTTCCGTTGATGTCTTAATACAGCCATCCCCACCGCCAACCTGAATTGTTATCTGATTTTAACTCTAAATACCGCAAGAAAATGGTTACCTCTTCCAGCCCAACCATAGCCATGTGACCAAAAACCTGTAATGCGTGTACTTTAGATCGACTTCCATTATGAGCAAACGCTTAGTAATGACAGGTATACAAATCTACGTCGAAACCGATGACTGTTTTCCGCTGCTTATGATTTGATGCTTACCTCTTGGGTGCCATCCTCCATAACCATGGCCGCCCCAACCCCAGGGACTTCGCCCGCCCCAACTGCCGGGACTGCCGGCGCCACTCCATCTTTCATGCCCGCTTTCGCTCCACCCTCCTTGAGCTAAATGGCACTTACTTCTATTAGGTTGTGTAGTAAGTTCTGTCCCATTTTTTCTTTCAATTTTTTCTCAATATTTTGCGCGATGTTCTGCAAATTTTTTATATGCATTTGAAAGCTCTAAGCCTTCTCTACTAAAACTTTCATCCCGGTTTTCTACATCAGATGACTTGAAAAAGTTTTACAGCGTTAAATTTGGAAAGTCAAACAGGGAAAAAGTCCGTTTTCGACAGCTACGTTACGTCGCCTTCCTAACTCGTCAGAATGCCTACGAATACGCTGGAAGAATTTGCTACACGTAAGCAAAGAATGCCCTAGCTTCTACTGCGCTTCAGGAGTGCTGAAATTTTTCAAAAATCATTTCTGTAGAGTTTAGAAAGTTCTTCTTTCAACGGCTTTTCAACGTTGGTGTTGGGCGTCATCTGAAGGCATCCTGAGGGAAGACGGAAGCAAATCATCCACAAAGGACAGAAGGGATGATTTGTGGCTTCTAAATTATCGAATTCGTAAGTTAAATACTCAAAAGTCGAATTTTGGGAGGCACACAGCTTGGGTACGCGAGAGGGCGAACATCGCCGTAACAAAGTCTTGCCTTGCCGACTTCTAAAAAAATGTCATTAAATAGCCGGTGGAAGGAAGGGAACATGCGCAAACAATGACAGAATAAGTGTAAAAGTCTGATAGATTGTTTTGGTCGTTGTCAAGCTTGTTTTATAAATTTTACCAATAAAAATCGAGAATAATTTGGAGAGAAAAAGATGTCGAAAATTGATTTTTCGGCTCTTTGGATTTTTTGTTTCAATGATTAATATCTTTTTTAGTTTCCTGCTATGTTGAGGAATGATGCATATGAGCCTACAGACCAGACTTAGAGCTTTCAAAAGCATATACACTTTATCTCAACTATAGTCAATGTCGTCAAGAAAAAACCAAAACAAAAAATGGGACAGAACTTATTACACGACCTAATACAAGGATTCAAAGCAGCTTTACCTCCTCCTTGCCACGTGCCTCCTTGTTGCACCCCATAACCTCCTTGTCCTGTAAGAACTGAAAATTTCTTTAAAAAAATTATATGCAAACTTACCCTCGCTTACTCCCTGCCATGCGGTTCCTTGCCCATTATAGCCTCCTTGACCTACAAGTACAGTACAAGTGAAGTATGCAAGTATGCACAAAAAGCATTTACAAGACTACCTGCATTTCCCTGCCACGAGCCTCCTTGTTGGACACCGTAGCCTCCTTGTCCTAAGCTTGTAAATGGGTTCAAAGTTAACGTTTTACATTGAAAAAATACCTCCGTTTCCTCCTTGCCACGTGCCTCCTTGTTGGACACCGTAGCCTCCTTGAGCTTGACCTTTAAATGGATCAAAGCTTAGATACGAAAACTGACCTTCAAAATTACCTCCATTTCCTGCCTGCTCCAATGCACCTCCTTGCTGAACACCATAGCCTCCTTGAGCTTGGCCTGTAAATGGATTAAAGCTTATATACGAAAACTGACCTGCAAAATTACCTCCGTTTCCTGCCTGCCACGCATCTCCTTGTTGGACACCGTAGCCTCCTTGAGCTTGGCCTGTAAATGCATTCAAACTTATGTACGAAAATCGACGTACAAATTACCTCCGTTCCCTGCCTGCCACGCGCCTTGTTGCTGTCCACCATAGCCTCCTTGACCTAAAGAGAACTTGGCAAAAAATCGCATTGATTTCAATGTACCAACTTCCTACCCTGTCCTCCTCCTTGCCAATTCTCCCCATATCCACCTCGTGATCCTTCCCCATTTCCTCCAACTTCACCTTCACCGACCCTCGGAGCTCCGTAGCCTAGGAAATGGAAGATTCAAATTATACACAATTGTACGTAGTACAGGATTATCACCTTGACTGGCACCATTCCACTGACCGTTGACAGAATACATAAGTGCAAGGATACCCAAAATGAACGGCGTATACATATTTACAGATACGTCAGATTTCTAAGATCTGCAAAAAAGTTATTGTACAAAATCTACTAACATGAAAAATGAAGAAAAGCAACCTTTCTTGATGTTAACAATAAAGCTGTTACGATAATAGCTGAAGTTACAAACTTCTGTAGACGGAAATCAGCGCACATCCTTATAATCAAAATTTTTGTGATATGCACTTTCTTTTTTGACGAACTTACGCACTGTTTCTGTCGGTGACTCATAGAATAGTGGAGTTTGCTGACTATGTCCTTCACTTGCGTAATATCAAAAGTTCATCCTCTCAGGTAAAGTCCGGACGACGTGCTCTCTTCCTGTCGCAACACATTTGTTGCGATTTGTGATAGTCAATATGTTCACCATTTTGGTCGACGTGATGTTTTGAACCCTCATCTATGCAAACACAATACATAGAAGACGATAGACGCGTCGCTCTTTCAGTTGCTCTCATAAGGCACAGAGCAGGCGTTGTTCCTTGATTGAAAGTTCTCAACGGTAGCAATTTACAAAATTTCAAAGGTGTCATCACCGTTTATAAAAGGTGTTGGTTTGATATACAAAGCTTGACCGTTTTTAGAAAAAAAATTCTTTGAACCATTTGCAGTCAGTTGATGCTCTTGCATCATATATTAGCTTTCGAGACGCCAAAAAAATTAGTAGAAGCAAGGGACCAGCTTCAGTGATTATTGATGTATTCATCAATGGCATGATTGCCTACGTATGATAATAGCAACATTCTCTAAATAGTCGATGAACTACCATAGGCACACGTCAACTCACCTGGCGATTTCCCCTTATAATATCTTGAAAGGAAGTAAAAAATGGAGGATTACTATGGAATAAAACAAGTCCAGTTCTTAACCATTGTCGCTGAAGGCGATGTAATGTTTCAATAATCCATAGCACATGGGGCTAACAGCTAAATTGATTTTACCCTTTTATTGCATCTCCTGAAAAACCCAAGATCAGCCGTGCGCTCGTAAAATCAAGATAGAAATCTGCTATAAAAAATTTTATATTTTTAAAAATAAATCACATGGCTAAGAAGTGTTTATTACAACTACGGCATTACACATGAAATTCATGGAATTACTGATTCAATTGCGGACGGCTCATTCCAATACATTTCGAAGGCGGAATGCCTGCAGATTACGGATCACTACATATATCGTAAAGTGACGATCAACTATAACAAAATGCAAGATCAAAATGATAATTTTGGTTCGGACTGCAACGAGCATTATACACAATACAACAAATCAAAAAGCTCCGCTGGACTAAATAATTCGTAAATTAACATGAAGCAACAAGTTTCTCTATGATGATAGATCACAAATAATTACTTTATAAGCACACACAACAGCAGTTGTCTTCTTCTATATAACAACACTTCAGCCTTCCCAGCCCCAGCCTACAACCGTTCATTATACCATCTTAGTATCATAGAAGTCACTCACCTCTGGGTCTTCCCCAGTCGCCACCTCTGGGTCCACCAAAACCGCCACGATGTGGTGGCCAACCTGGAACAGAAATTTTATTGCAAAACTTTTACAGCGTACATCTCCTCATTCACATGAAAACTTTATTTTCGCCTTGTGTCAAAAAAGGCTTACCTCCTCTTCCTCCAGGACTCCAACCTCCCGGTCCTCGACCGCCCCAGCCTCCCAAACCACCGCCGCCACCCCATCCTCCGCGACCACCTCCACTCCATCCTCCTCGACCTGGTCCTGTACATATATTTTGCACACTATATAAGAATGAAGCACAAATTTACCTCCGCCTCCTCCTTGCCATCCACCTTGTTGTCCATTCCAACTTCCCTGACCTGTAGTTGAGCATAAAACCGACATATCATTTGATGCATACACTTACCTCCACCACCTCCACCTCGTCCTCCACCACCTCCGCCGCGGCCTCCACCACCTCGTCCACCTCCTCCACCTCCTTCGTTTTCCCAATCATCACCTCCTCCACCACCTCCACCGCGGCCTCCACCACCTCGTCCACCTCCACCACCTCGTCCACCTCCACCACCTCCTTCGTTCTCCCAGTCACCTCCTCCAGCACCTCCTCCACCACCTCCACCTGGTTCTCCGCCAGCTCCGCCGCGACCTCCACCACCGCGTCCACCTCCGCCTCTTCCTTCACCGTTTCCACCTCCTCGACCTCCTCCACCTCGTCGTCCGCCACCACTTCCTTCACCACCTTCTAAAAGAGAGTGAGGGTTAATTTATTAGACATTCACTCATATGGTTACCTTGATTATCTCCACCCCATTGACAACTGGTAAATGAAATAAGTATAAGTGCAATCAGAATAATCGAGGTATACATTTCTAAGGCAGTCCTGCAAGAATATGATGTTCCTAATCTAATAGCAGTGGAATAAATATCAAAGAACTGGAAAAGAATATCAAAGAACTTTTTCAAGATTTGAAGAGACAAATGCTTATCAACAGCACCACGTAAAAACAAACTTCTGTAAACAGATAATAACAGGTTCTTCGCTTGTACACAACATGTTGTCAAGACTATCAATTTCGTTTCTAACAAGTTCTACACGCACCTACGACCTATTTATTACTACATGGCTTTCGATGTCACCTGCACTCCATGCAATCTTTTATTGAGCAATATAAATAGGATAAATATAATGGAATACAGTGGCGATGAATTAATTTTATCGCATATTTGCTAGCTAAAGACATACAGAGCGAAGAGAAAGCAAAGTCTGTTTTTTAGTTTGCTCCCTGTAGATTTGATTTTTATTATTTTAATTTAACCTAAAAAATAAATCAAAAAATAAACTAAAAAATAAAAAAATTTAATTTATTTGCTGTTTTCTTCAATGTTCTTATTAAGTTGAGCTCAAGTCAAAAGTTTACGTGTGCAGGACAAGATTCATAAGTATTTGATCCTGTTTGGAATAAGACTAGATACCCAGTGGTAAGAATCTATACATACATGGTATTCAAACACTATACTTTTGTTTGTTAGGATGTTTGTGTCTTATAGACTCCTTTGTATGTGAACCGAAAAGACTGAAATTTGTTACCCTATGAATGAGACACGGTGCAAAAGATAGGCTGCTTTTTGCGACTTTTCGCTGGGTCCTTCTATCGATTTATTGATTTGTTAACTGACATCTAGGGAAATGTAAGCATATCATTCATTTCTCCAAGTTAAGTAGTAAGGGGCGGTAGAGATTATTTGCATTTTGCGGTGAGGAGGATATGGTGTCACGAAGCGAGGCGGTCAAGAAAGGCAAAATCACCACGGATACCACAGGAGCGCTGCAATTAACTCGAAGCTGAAGCCGGAGAAGAAAAGAAGATGGTGAACGAAGAAATGGAGGAATGGTAAGCATTAAGGCAATTTGGAACAGACCCTATGCCGAGCCATTTGGACCCTCGGCCCGGGTGGGACCGGGGACCGCACCTAGTGAACTATATCATTTTTAGTGATATAGTATCAGCCGTAATTGAGCTAGAGATGATTGCAGTGGATAACAGAAGTCCTTTAGATCTCTCCATTGTTAGCGTGATACTACACTTGGGGGAACCCTTACAGGGTGGCATATATTAGGCTGCTGCATAAGTTCTGTCCGATTTGAATTTCAAATTCAAAATGTCATAACTTTTTTGCAATCAACTTCTACCTATAACTTTAGTTTCTGTGTGTTGAGTAGTTCTTTAGCTATCAAGAAAAACTGCTTTTGCGAAAAACCCTGTTATAAAAGAGCAAGAACTCAACAACTTTACAGCGTTCTTTTCCAAACTTTTTTTAATGGCATTCTCCCTTACGAGAACCGACAGACAGAATAGCCATGGATAGATAGAGAAATTTCCCAAGAACGTTATACAGCCTAAAAGAGCCCATAAAATCTTCGGGCCGAGAGATTTTTTTGACCGAATAAAAACGAAGCCGTTTTTCCACCTCGTTCTGATACATGTATGTATGCCGAATAAATTATATTTCACACCTGCCACGAGGGGTGAAAAGAAACTGGAGGCCGAGCCTGCTAGCTCTTGCTTTACTCTAGCACCTCCAACATTGGACTCATCGGTTGCCTCTATTCACGGAAAGTTATTGCTTGTAGAACTTTTGTACAAATAATTATTTACCATCAAATTTTACTAAGACGACCTTTTTTTACATGAAAGTTAGTTTGTGCAGATACTGAACTGCTCACTTCTTATTCCGTGATAGTTATAAGGACTTGACTTGGAGAGCATATTGTAGAGATGTTCTCGCGAGAACAATTTCTTAGCTGAGTATGTGTCTCGACCATCTGGGGATCATAGGCCTGCAATCTCATCAGACTGGGGATTTTATTGAAATATGATGTGTTAGAAAGAGCAAGAAAAGGACTTTCTGATGATACGAATAATATCGCATCTTGAGTGAAAATCTTTTAGAACGGCTGCCTCCACAAGGCAAAAAATCGGACAGAACTCACGCAGCAGCCTAATACAGCTGGGATAATACAGCAAATATGATAAGGCATAGTGCAAGAGTATTTCTTTGCACAAATAAGGTGGGAAATTGGTGGTAGCAAAGTCATCGATGTGCGAGTGTTGGCACATGCAATTAATTCATGTTTCTTCCCTTACCATACAATGACATCAAAACCTGTCGCATCACACTACGGTCCAGGCATGAGAAGCATGCAGATCAGCGAAATGAGGAGACTAGCAAGAAATAGGATATGGATTTTGAATCACAGACACATAGTTTACCTGTATCATAGCAAGACGAACATAAATCTCAAAACGAACGTTGCACGGATTTGCCTTCACTGAGGTTGACTTGTTATAACTTCATTTGCTAAGAATTTGTACAAAAGAGAATACTACCAAATTCGTAAAGTTGCAGTGCTTTGGGTATGCCTTTAATTTCAACACTACAAAATACGATGCTGTGAATTGTTGTTCTAACTCATACATTCACTCACTCTACTCATTCTTTGTTCGACAGACAGATGCAACATAAACTACCACAGCTAATTCTCGACCAAAAACAGTTAAACGGTGAGGCGAAGTTCCATTTCTATGTACGGTTAAGGGCCGGGTATACTTCAAGCGATTTCAATCGCGGGGCCATTTGGCAATATTCCAAGTGTCCATAACTCATTGTAAGCACATTATAAACGTACAGAAGATAGGACATTTCATCAGTTTACGTAAGTTATACACATTATGCATGTGCAGTTTGCTAATGTTGGATCCGAAGACTTCTGGCGAGTTGCCAATTCGTGTCACGACTGAAATCGCGTGAAGTATGCCCGGCCCTTTACTCAAGAGAAGTCGCGCTTGAATGTCAGTCATGAAACATTCGCACTAGGAAGATAATGCTGAGCTCACGCTCCTAAGGACTATAATGCCATTGCTTGACTCACTCGCCACAAGATGATGTTCGCACTTCATCAAACCAAGTTTTCCTGAAATGCGTATGAGTACTTTAAGCAGCAATATTCCAGTAAGTATGTTATAAGTTATAACATACTTACTGGAACTTAACATACACACCTGTAACGTGTGAGATTTCACACGTTCAAGTCGTTCTCCGTCTAGAGATCTGCAACGCACCAACACTACGCGTTCCATCCCCGGTGGCGCTAGCTTTGACTACGAGTTCCGGTGCTTTCTCAGAGTTTGCCTGATAGCCTGCGCCACCTTACCGGACCATTGGAAGCATGTAATGTTGATTCAAACACTTGTGCACACAGCTAATTGGTCCAAGATAGGTAAGCGCAATAGAAAGTGTGCTTATTTACACACTTGAGATATGAAACGATCAGACTACAAAATCTTATAATTATTTTGCGTTGGCTGTGCCTTAGCACCTTATTGATTTCAGCACGCACAATCAAGTCTTTCATACTCAAAGGTAGCGTCCAGGCAAATCTAAACATATGCGATTCTCACGTGGATAGTAATTTTGGGGACCTAACTAAGTCACTGCCCAACCGTCAGCTCAGGTAGTGCTCTAACTTTTGAGATATTCGGGTAAGGGAACGAAAGCCGCCAGTTTGAGACGTCTATCGCGGCCAACGGTCCTTCTGCAGCGTTGTTTCATGTCGTTCCAGGAACAGCAGTCCGCGGAGGCGGCCCAAACTGGCGGCTTTCGTTCCCCTACCCAAATATTCCCTTCGAAACTGGACCTCAGAATCGTATTTCGCATGGATTCATGGCACAACCCATGGGTCCTCGCGCGAAACTGATGGGTTGCGCCATGAATCTATGAGAAATACGATCCTAAGGTCCAGTTTGGAAGCGTATATCTTAGCCATTAGTGACTCGCCTTTGCTGTCGCTTGGGCAGTGCCTTGGCTGTAAAATCCTCATAGGTAGGATTTGCCTGGACCTGCCTTTAATTATGTGCCACTATCCATTGTCTTCATTCTTTTCAAAAGAGTACAATGTTTCAAAAGCCGTTTCTTGTTGATAACCTTTATTCACAAGAAAAGCAGATGACAGAGGTTAGGCTGCACTGCAAATCAAGAGGTCAAACAACAATCCACCACTACTACCAACTTCACAAATTTGGTGCAAGTTCCCCTTCTCGGACGTATGTTGGCATCCCCATTCGTGGCAAAAAGAACCTTCGCTTGCGGTATGGCTCAAATCGTGCAACCCTGATCATAGCGTTCGGATCCACCGGCACATTCATCACGAGTGGTGTATCTTCTGAAAATATTCGAGAAGTGGCTGTTTTAGCTAGAGGTTCATGAACAGAGCGTGACAAACGTTGCTGGACTTATATCTTTGGAACCTGAAAATTTGAAGAGCTTAAACCAACTGGAATTCCCGAAAAGATGACATCAGATCGATACTGAACCCTACAATCCTCGTTACCATATTCCGACTTTTTTCTAAACCGCACATTATTTGGTATGCTAGTGCCTAGCTTCATTATGAGCCCAAAAACAATGGCTTTTCTGAAGATTAGCTGATTGTCCTTTGTCAACAATCTAAAGCTTTTCGTCCTTTGGAAGAATCGCGGAAGCAGTGGCAAACCACATCCGCCATCAATACTTGCAGAACTTTGCTGGAGACAACAAATCGTCCTGGATCACGGAATTTCAATCAACGATGCTCAACATCATGGTAAGTAAAAAAGCGAAGGAGATCGATGGCGTACTAAAATTATCGTGTTTGCTGATGTACCAGAAAAACTAATCTTTGTACCAAATATCATGTAAACCTGCCTGCTTGAGCATGCACTTAGAATGGAAAGATACTTGGTTGGAGTGGCGTTTCCATAAAAGATGTGCATTATTTTAAGCATGGAACGCTGATTTCAAATTTGATTTCGGTATCTGCTAAGCGCTTTTGGAAGCGGAGATCTGGGAATTTTACGAGGTAAAAATTCAATGATTTGGCTAACAAGGGAGGCCCGAATGGTCGAAGTGGCCTTTTCAGTGGAATTGATATGTCTATAAAGAGCATCGAACGCTGATTCCAAACCTGTCTTCGTTATCTGCCGAGCACCTCTGGACGTCGAGTTATGAACATTTTTTGAAGTGAAAAATTGAATGCGTAATTAGCACAAAATTCGTCAGAATTGCTCAAATGGTCCAATCTTGATATCAGAGCACTCCATCTGAACAACACCTTCTGTCCAAAATACTCATACTTAACGCCTTTATTAAAGCGCTGAAAAGACAGTAAAATTTGATTTCACGGTCTTTTCAGTGCGTTCAATTTTCGAACCAGAAAATATTTATAACTCGGAATGCAGACGCGCTCGGCAGATGATAAAAACAGATTTGGAATCAGCGTTTGATGCTCTTCAAAGTGGTATAAAACTCATCTCGAAAGGCCACTTCGACTAATCGGACCTCCTTTGTAAGATAAATATAGGTGTTGAGATCTTTCCGACGCTTGAAAGGAGTAATGACTAGTGTGGTCTGATAGTTTCAAGGTCTTTTTAAATGAAAAGTCCTGGTAGTAATTATGGCCCCATTTGAGCTCACGAACTAAGGTTCTGAATGATTTAATTGTAGAGGCGCTTTCAAATTTTTGCATCAAAAAAGTTCGGTAATTCCCCTCCCCTTCCCCCAGAAGCGCTTTGCAGATATCGAAAGTGGATTTGAACTCAGCGTTCCATGGTCTATGAGACATTATGCATTTTATATGGACACTTCGACGCCCCTTCGACCAAGTATTCATCCCTTGTCCCCTTTCTAAGATGAAAGGCACATCACCTCTTCGCTCAGAAATTTTCAGAAATTCGATTGATCAGCTAAACCGCGCTTGAAAAAAGTGCAAAATCTATCTTCAATAGCGTCGGTTCGAAAAGTTCATTACATAAATTCGGTTTTGCAAAATTTTTCCAATTGGCGGCAGTCTACCATGACATATTTTCTAGACGCTGCTACCGTAATGCAGAATCAAAAGTCATTAGCAATTCTCGCTGTGCTATAAAAGTGTCGGAAGAAGCCTATGATTATGTTACTTCAGAGCACGTACGGATATAGAATTATTAGCGATTTAGTCGGTACAATTTTTCGAGGTACATTTTACGTTAGCGAATGAAAAATGGATTTTGATATTTGTTTTCTTTACGTTCTACTCATGGTAGGAAGGGAACTGCTATTTCATCCTTACCTGACGACTCGTCCGCGAATAATTTGGCTCCGGCAGCAGCAAACATGGCTAGGAAGAGCAGCAGCGGTCGCATCTTGGCCTATAGTAGTATCCTGAGAGAAAAAGAGCAAAAATGTTGAGATCTAGACAATAAACATTATAACGAGGCCAATAGCTCAGCAGGAGATTTTTCTGCAGGAATTCGTGAAACAGCTGCAAGAAGATCAACGTGCTCAAAAGCGGAGAGAGTTCTGTTGAGCAAAATTTCCACATCACTGGCTTTCAAGAGAAATTTTCGGTATCCACTGCAGAATTATATAAACATAACATAAACTATTTATGTAAGTTGGAGGCGGAACAACTATGACGTCCGTTATATATGCAAAGTCCAATTCAATACTTCTTCCGATAAGGAAGAGAAAATCCTATTTCAAAACAGTGCAAAGCTTCCAGAAAATAATTTCCATTGCAAACGAAGTTATAAAGATTTCCCACAAGGCACATCTGTGCAACGCGACTAACCGTAGTTTAGAAGCCGCCATCCAGCGAATTCATAGAGAGAGTGAGTAACAAGGCAATGAAAACAGAAATAAAGAATGAAAAGTGCTGTTGAGAGCTACCTCAAGGTCTATGAAATTATCAGCTTCTATTTTGCAAGTGAAATTTCGCCATAATCACTCGGTAAGCATTACAAAGTTATTGCACATATACACTAACAAGGCATCTTTTTATATATGGTAGCATCATTATGGCAGAATACAGCCAATGTTTGGTAGAATCATTTCTCACAACTCAGTAATTTCAAAATGTAGAGAAAAGATGGAGAAGAACAGTTGAAGACATTCTGACAGCGAGCTATTTTTACCACAACTTCTTCAGCTTCAGGGAATGATGATGTTGAAGACGAATGGAAGTGGAGTACAAAATCTTTTGCTCCCTCTCTCGTATTCCTCATAAAAGCTATATGGATGGATAATCACAACGGTTATAATTGATTACTCAACTATTTTCACGATAGCTGGCTGGCAGATATGAGATAACTGTAAATAAGTGGAAGGTTTAGACGAAATTGAAGGCGGGCAATTTGAGAAAATCGCAGCAAGCGGAAATTGCTGAATGCTGTCTTCCTTCCCCACTTTTTTTTCTAAAAACAATTTCCTGAGAATGAGAAAAGCGCGTCTCCTGTTAAGATGGTATTAGGACAGCTTGCACCTCCAAGTCTAAGCTGAAAAATTCTTTTATTTAATTTCTTTCTACAGCTCAATTCTGAAATACGGATCGCATTTACCTGAAATCTTTCATCATCATAATTTGATGGCAAGAATCCTATGTAGGTAGATAATTCTGTGAAAGAAGAGTCAAATTGAGCTAGCACAAAGAGTACTGAATGCAATGAGAAGAGATGGCAATGGCTAGGGCTTCGGACACGCCTACGATTAATTCGCTTCAGGGCATTTCTGCGAAAGAAATGCATTCTTCTGAGATTTATCATCAGAATGAATCTCCACTGAGCACGCTCTCACTATAAGACTTTTGTTGAAGATAAGACTGAATCAGTTGAAGCTCATTTGGGGATTATTTGACTTTGAAAATGGCTGAAAGAAGCAACGCGCACCTCTGAAGGTAGAAAACTGCATTTAGGTAAGACACTGTTTGGAAACTATAAATAAGCTAGAGTAGGAAATTGATATAGGATTTGTAAAAAGCTCAAACTAGCTCGTCCTATCAAGAACTTAGATACATAACCTTAGTACATAACCATCCAAAGCTGGCTGACCACTCCGGCGCGTTCCTATAAAGACACCCTGTGGTATAGGATAGAACTTTAAAGGCAGTGGCTCGGCAAATCTCAACCTAGGCAAATTTGCGCTTACCTGGGGTTATTCAATACGCTTATCCCGAAAATCTACTTTTGAAAGCTTGAAAACGGCAAAAATGAGCGTTTTCTAACGCCCTTCGCTTTAGAATTGGAAGTGGAGCAAGGCTGATGACGCTGAATCGTTGGAGGACCCAACGGTTATAGCACTGCGGCTGGCAGCCTCCCGGTGAGAAGGAAATTGCCAACTTGTCCGGAAGCGTGTAAGATTGACCTGCGCGTGTACGTTTGAGAGCAATTTTCTCGGCAGGGAAGGCATGCTGTGCAACCGGGATTGCACCGTTTTCATACTTGGGCGATAGGGAACCTACCGAATTAAAATCCTGAGTTGTTGGATTTTGCCGATCCACTGCCTTTAACAAACAACTTTATCGAATACCACAAATATGCCATACTAGCTGGTTCTCCCGGTCTGGCCCGGGACACGTTAGCTTATCTATGCTCCACTCCCCCCCCCCCCCGTCCCTTCCCTTCCCACCTTGCCATTGTGTTGCGCAGCAAAGGGTACCTGTATCAAAGTAACTTACCCGCTGCATGCTCCTCTTAATCCACCGCATTCTTCCTACCGCGAGGAATCGAATGAACTCCACTGCTGTTGTTTACAAATTATAGAATTGACTTGTTAGCCCATGTTGAAAACTCATTCTTATGCGAAAAATCGATAAATCAATAGAATGGCCCAGCGAATTGCAGCAAAAAGTAGCGCTAAACCAGCTCCGGGGTCGAATACATATGTGTGCAAAGTTTCAGCTCAATCGGTTCATTGGCGGGCGTTTCCATAACGAACCAACAACCAAACGAACACACTTACACAGTTTGAGTTTTATAAATATATAGATTACGAGAGGATTTAGACAACGTTTTATCCAAATCGTAAGTCATTCAATAGCCAACCAACCCCTCCTTGTCTCAAGACTCCAATATAAACCAAACCTAGTCTTCATGCACGACTCTCAAGATCGCCGTGACGGTCGAGCGCTTGAAGGCAGTGGCTCGGCAAATCCTCGACCTGAAGTTTTTTCGCTTACCTGGGGTATTTCAACGCGCTGATTCCGAAAATACACTTTGAAGAGCGCGAAAACGGCGAAAACCAGCATTTTCCGAGGCCTTTCATTTTAAATTTGGACGAGTGTAACGCTTCATGTCATGGTTAGAGACGTAGAGTCGTTGCGGGACCATCGTGTTTATAGCATTGCGGCATGCCGCCTCTGATGGTCGTAGAGGAATCTCAAGCTCGTCCGAGCGCGTGTAAGAATGGCTTGCGCGCACGGGTTTAGAAGCAGTTTTCTAGGCGGGGACAGCATGCTGTGCGCTCAGACCTGCTCTGTTCTCATGTTTCGAATGCAAGCCCTTCCGTATCAAAATTTTGGTGTGTTTGGTTTTGGCGAGCCACTGCCTTTAACCGCCAAGTCTACAACACAACGGTACGATAACATTGACGATCGATAAGAGATACTTAAGAAGTGCGCATCCCGCTCTCTATGCATATATCCTATTAGCGCAGAGAGGTCCTGACGCGAATACGATACCGCGCCTGTTAACTGCGGCAGGCGTCCTCCTAGGCCTATTCAAGGAGTGGTCTTGCACAAGCCGCAATATTTCAAATCTTCCTGCGGGGGTAGGGGAACGAAAGCCGCCAGTTTGGGCCGCGTCCGCGGACTGCTGGTCCTGGAACGACATACAACAACACTGCGAAAGGACCAGTTGGCCGCGAAAGGCGGCTCAAACTGGCTGCTTTCGTACCCCTACCCGTTAAATGCGGCAGGCGTCCTCCTAGGCCTATTCAAGGAGTGGTCTTGCACAAGCCGCGATATTTCAAATCTTCCTGCGGAGAGAAAACTTGCGTATCACACTCTTCTTCCATATTTTTTTTTGAAGACGAGTCTCAAAGGCTGAGAACGACTCTCAAACCGGTGGGACATCTGGCATTGTAATAGCTTCAATTTCGCATGAAAAGGCAAGAACAGAAAAATTTGTGCATTTTCTTAGCAAAACGGCAGTTGGCAGCTTAGAGCTCATCACTCTTCTGAAACGTCAGAACGGTCTAATAGAGGGCTAGGTAGATAAATTTACATAAAGCACGACTCTTTTCTTTTTATAGAGACTACGATTATAGGAATTGATTGAAAATGAAAAAGTTTTGAATATGAAATGAGCTACGAAAAAAAGTTTTATCTCAGTCTAGTTACATGAATTACTTCCTGTTTAACTTCAAAGATTCAAAACTTTTGCTTTAGCCCACACTAACTCATCAATTATTCTTCTTTTGAATAGACAAATGTCATGAATAATGAACCAACATAAACGAAATGCTACACAATTAAAGAAAGGAAATGCACTTCCCTAGTAAAGATCCCTAGAATTAGCGGAAATCCAAAGATGGCTAAGGATTTATTGTTAGAGGGCTTGCGGTCAATTTAAAATATGGGAGGCTTATTGTTCATCAAAGACGCAGTCTTGACTTTTTGCAGGAAAAAAAAGAAAACAATTTTTCAGCTGTCAACGCAAAGATTGAGAAGCACTTTACCATCTATAGAGTCTGCCTTTGCTGATCCTATATTTATAGTAAACGCATAAATCCATACTAGAAAAGTATCATAAATGGTGACAAAGGGTCTTTCGCTAATCATAAATTATGATGCAGGCTCAGACAAAGTCTAGAGGTTGATTTATGAGATTACTTTGCCATTTGCGATATAGCTCTGCCACTACTAATAAAAGTCTCTTAGTCATAAGTACTTACTCGTTTTTTGAGAAAAAGGAAAAAGTTCCTTCCTTGTTTGCGTATCTTACGTTCTTTCGCTTAAGATAAAATAAAAAAATGCTTCTAGAGGAATATCTGGGCGTTTTTTGTTTAGTTTAGAAAGAAAATGATATTGATATGGTGTGGATGTCATTTTCAGCTAGATCTCATTCACCCTCATTTTTATTTTTTTATCGTCATTAGCGGTCCCCATCCAAAGTCTATGGAGGAATTATTCGGACATCTCAAAAGCCAAGTGGACCATGCGGATGAAACCGTTCACGATAGAAATCCAAGTTACTTCAAACACATAGTGAATTCTGGAACAAGCGGTGTGCTTCCGGTGAGTTTATAGAAAAAGGCAGAGTTTGGTTTCTGAGTAAGTTCTGAAATATTATTTAAAACGTTTTACACTATTCTTTTCGCAGAACAAGAGTTTATCCAGATCTAAGAATCGCTTGGTATAATTCAAATACAAAAATTCCACGATTTTTCGATTTCCCGTCGATTCAAAAAAAAACCAAAGTGAAGCGCGTAGTGACTGGATTTATCTTCGAAAATTTGTGGATTTTTCAGTGCACAAAGTAATCTACAGCATATGTTAGATTTATGAAAATGCCATTTCGATAGATCACCTAGATAATTTGGTTTTATTTTTTGGTGCAAGAGTGATAATCTAAGTCTAATAGAATGGATAGATTCAGTACGATCCTAGCACCTAAGTGGCTAAGAAGTGACAAAATAAGTTCAATATCTACCCATTTACCACTTCCTTCTTAAGAGGTGCTTTCTCGAAACACCTGCCTCAAAGTACTTGCGGAGTTTTTATAACTAAAGAAACTCAAACTCAAACATTCAAAAATTTTGCCATAACAGATGAGATTGGTGAATGTGGTAAAAAGGGAGCTTTGTCTAGGGAGTTAAAGGGAAGATTCTATCAGACTATTAAAGGAACGACATTAGAAAAACTTTTTGTTGCTGCCAACAGAATTCCCTTCAACTCGTGATATACCGGGGGGGGGGGGGGGAATGGGTCGCGAAGACTTGAAAGTTACTTAAATGAGTTACAAAAATGTGCAAGTGACTTGTCTACTTGTAGTTAAATTGAAACAATTTTTGACATTTTTATAAATTCAGTTCGGCCTCGTAAAACAATCGTAGCTGGCACCACGCCTTTTTTTTCTGGAATTTTGGGGCTAGGGGCCCGCGAAAATTCTAGGAAGCATACCAAAAATTTCCATCAGAATAAAATTTTTGTCCCCCCCCCCCCCCCGTCCCCCCCCCCACCCCCGAACGGAAATCTGGGTACGCCATTGCTTCAACTTTCTTCTGCATCTGCTATAACAACAAATCATCATGGAGTGAGCATTGTGAAAATACTAGTATAATTTTTTTCTCAATGTTAGGGAATTTTCAATCTTAGCGTTTTTGAATTGGAGAGGAAAGCCAAAGTTTTTATTACAATTTGCTATCAAGCCTAATCCAACCTTGTTGTTTTCATCTTCATTCAGTAGCTCTTTCCTTTTTTAAAATAGTGCTAGGAAATATTAACTTACTTATTTCCTGCCTGGAGATGACAGCTTTGCCGCGGTTTTTTATCGGTCTTGTCTCTTTTCATTGACTATTTCCCTCTCTGCATTCACAGATCTATTTTTCTGGCTAACTTTTTCCTTCAGTGCACTTTCAAGTATGTCATGGATAAGGTACAAGAACATCCGGCATCATTCACAGCTACTCCTTTGCTATGGATAACTCTTATAGTCGCATTGGCTTACTCAAGACGTGAGTCCCATAATTATTTTTTCTAATTTTTATTCTAGCACATCGAACAGAATCTTTTTAGATCGCACTCGAGCATATTTAGCTGAAGCTTCTTTATATGATAGACAATCTTTCATAAAGCAATGGTTTGAACAGCAGCAAGCAGAAGAGAAACAAAAAGGTGTTCATCCGGTGGGTAGACAATAAAATTAGAAATGCTATTAGCAAAAAAAACTATAGACTTTACAAAGATATGATAAGGACATTTTCGCTATTGAAAATTTCCAAAGAAACAAAAAATGGCTATTGTTCAAACTATCATAAAAAGGCATAATTACAGTGTCTACGAACAACTATAGAAACTAGCGAACATGTAGATCAAATCACACAATAGTACAGTATCCAAACCCGCTTCCTTGTTTTCTTCCTGATATTCAGGGGGACCCCGTTTCTGACGGTGATTCTTTTGTATATTTCCTACAATAACTTCGGTATAAATGCTATGATCGAGCATTTCCATAAGCACAGCTCTGAAAAAAATTACGGTAGAGAGGGATCAGATTACGGTAGCTAAATATTGCCCACCTTTTGGAACGAGACCACATAGTAGATCAAAAAATTGTTGGATTCAGCGTAAGAGGTTTCTTTTGAGAATGTGACAGTCAACTCTGACTCAATTGGGGAGTGAAAATGGACATGCGCGCCGAAGTGGGCGATCGCTCTGGCCCGATGGCGTATGGTCGTGAGAAAAAAGTCTGTGCAAATATTTGTCGTATGAAATAATGCGGCAATGTTTTCCGGGTACACTGGGGGGGGGGGAGGAATTGACATACCTAAAACACAAAAATCGAAATTACGATGCCATATTATACGAGATAGAAAAATCCAATAAATAGAATTTGAAATAGCGCGTAACTTTTCTTTTATCTTATTCAGAAGAACAAGAATCTATTTTTCATCCTTTGATCCACTAGTCTGTTTATTTATCTAATTATTGATTTGTTGACTTACATTGACTTTACTCATTTACTTGTCTATCTAGCACTTACCTAGCGTCCTAAAAAAACTGAGGATTATAGGTAATGTGAAAAACCCCAAATTTCATCTTATATGGGTAAAAATTCCAGCCATTGCGATTATGAAGTTTTGCATTAACAATAAAGGCATTAAATATTTCATATGCTATTCATTCACAATGTGTAAATTTCAAAATGAACCAGGAAGTAGGCTAACATAGAAAATTTCAATTTGGGTCTGTAAAAAAAGCAAGCTTATGAACAATACTGTTTTTTAATGAGCTCCCTTATACCTTTTTGAAAGGAAAGAATTGGAGAGAGTGGCTATGTACCTTCTTTTAAGAAAAAAATTGGAGAGAGTGTGTTCTATATTGTTTTCTCATGCTTTGGAGCTTCAGCATATGGCATCTCCATTCTTCAAACCTCCATCACTCTCAATCACTAGCCGAATTAATTCCAGTACTGCGCTAACTGTCACGAAAATTGTTGTCAGCATTCCACTACCCAGAAAAAGTTCGATTTCGAAGAAGCCATCTGGATTGCAGCTTTTCCTTCGCATTCCGACGAAGTAAAAAAGATGTTGCAGCTGCATAAGCCATATGCAATTTATTCTAGGAGCTCTGGAGTGGGGAAGGACGAGAAATGTACATCATTCAGACGATCAAAATCGTTAATTTAGCCTCTAACTAATATAATTTGTGAATGATTTCTTCCAGTCTTCCCGTTTTGAAAAATTTGCCGAATGCATAATTACTAATATCTCCCTTCCTCAATAATCTCCTCGTGCCTTTATTTATTTAGCGAACCTACATGTGGGAGTGTCTCCAAAACGAAGTACTAGCTGCTCTTGATTACTGTAAGTTACAGTAAGAATATCAGAGAGCCTTGCGCCAAAGTGAGCCAAACGCGCTTCAAACAACTGGCAAAAAATGATAACTCTGTAATGAACTCAATTGATTTTGCTGATATTTTATACGAGCATTGTACAGGGTGGGGCAAAACAGGGTGGGGCAAAAGTCTGGGAGCCCAGCACTTTTTCAGATAAAATTAGAAGGAAAGTACCCAGAAACAAAAAATTTGGTGCATACATAATTCGAACCTTTACAAATACAGCGCTCAAATTTTGGGATTGCCTCTTTCGGCTTAGCAGCCCTTTAAAATCTCCTGTCCTGACACGCAGGCAGTCGTGATGAAATTCGTCCCACGCCTTTACGATAACTGCTTCTTTCACTAGACAAATGTACAGTATGATAGAGCAAGCTTTGGGCTACAACATACTACGGTGAAATTTTTTTTTGCAATATTTAGGGAAAATTTTGGAATTTTGAATGAAGGCAACTGTACTAGCATAGTGAAAATTTGGATGCGAATGCACAAACGGGAGCGAAATATCATAGTCTAAAAAGCATGGAAATTGCTCTATCGATCGAAATCAAGTATAGGGCATTTGAAAAATCGTGACGATGGCGCAACCGCACGCGATACGCGCGCCACTTTCGGAAATCGCATTTTCTTGGTTTTCGTTTCTAGTCGAATGGTCTTTTTGCTTACATATGATAATATTCAGACACTGGAAGTGCCTGAGCTGAACGTTGAGGTGAGACCTCCTCGTATGAGCGTTTTATGCTCCTGTAGGCGCAAAGTCCGCAGTCAAATCCGTCGTCACGATTTTATGAATGTACCATAGATGCTTATATAGAAGACTCTTATAAAGTATATAGCCTAAAATTTAGTATCTGCTGCTCTCTTATAGCTTAAAAATTTCAGCTTAGAGACAATTGGCCACTGGCACGCAGGTAGTATTCGCAAATTTTTGATTGCGTTTTTGAAAGAATAGCTTCTGTTAATGTTCACGTTCTAGAATGTTCACAGTATTTTTAGCTACGAAATAAACTGTGAATATTCAAAATTTTTGATTTTCTCGCTCTGCAAAAGCACTTGTTTGATAAAACCAATTCTTACAAGTACATATGGCAAGCATTTTCAGCTATGTAAGGTGTTCTGTAGAGAATGATTGCAGCATTATTTGGCACAAACTTGGAATCAAAATTATCAGCAGTTTCGTGATTTACAGCATTGCAAAGTTGGCTCCCAGAATTTTGCCCCTCCCCCCTCCTGTGTTGTCATAATCTCTAGTTCACAGTGGACAGAAGATACCATAGCAGCAGGTTCCCCAACCCCATCGAAAATGTGCTCTAAATTGTATAAATGCGTACAAAGCAACACCCTAAAGCCAGTGTGTAAAACTTTACCACAAAAGTTTTTGATCTTTCAAAAGCTTTTGAAATGACGATAATATGCCATTGCGCTGCAAGTTTATATCAAAGTCTTGCGTTAAAGGCAGTGGGTCGGCAGAATGGCAAAACAAGGTCACAGGGTAGGAGCCCCATAACGGAACCTATGGGCCAAAGTTCGATCTTTCTCTGCCACTTCTAGTATTATATATTCTTCTATTATTATTTTATTCTTCCGAAATTTCAAAGCGAAAGCAGCGCTCATCTCCTATCCTCTCCGACCGCCCACCCCATGGACGAGTGACTTCCGCGGTCAGAGCGCAAGCCGCAATGCTATAAGCATGAGGTCACGCAACGACTCTGCGTCTTCGCCATGACGGGCTTCGCGTTCACTCGTCCATGAGGCGGGCGGGTTCGGAGAGGACAGGAGATGAGCGCTGCTTTCGCGCTGAAATTTCGGGGGTTAGAAGTGGCAGGGAAAGATCGAACTTTGGCCCATAGGTTCCATTATGGGGCTCCTATCCTGTGACCTTGTTTTGCCACGGGTCTCATTCTGCCGACCTACTGCCTTTAATGGAGAAAGATTGTACCTATTTTGTTTGTACAAGGCTAGGCTAAGTCAACCCTACAATATAATACTTAAAGTTCTGCAAAAGCTTTTGCTATGAGAATGTCCAGAGACCACCCTATCGCCACATTTTAAAAATGTTGTGTATCAACCTACATTTGTTACGGAAAGCCTTACGATGAAAAGCTGATTAGATGGAAAGAAAATATCTCCTTTCTTCCATATTTTTCTTTCCACGGATAAGCTTGAACACAAAAAAATGTTGTCGAACTAACAAGGCTAACTAGAAAAACAGCACATTTCTTTCAATCTCATTTTCCTTCTTTCAAGTGAGATAAACTGAGACACAATAAAAGGTTAGCCGAGATAACACAGATATAAAAATCAAATAGTAATTGCTCTAATATTTTAATCGCTTCTTAAATGTTTTTAAACTAGAGAATCTTTCGAACGAATCGCTGTGCATTTTTCGGTGACCAATAGCGATAATTTCTTTTTTCGATTCAGTTTTTACGACCTTGATGACAGGTTATCTACAAAGAACGGACGCATTACTATGGAAACTAAAATGTGAAATGCATCGATGCATTCTAAATATCAAGCTTCTATGCACAATAGAAAGCGGAAGATAATTTCCAGAGGAAACAAATTCCATAGAATATTCCTATAAATTTGCTCTTATTCTGTACGGTCTATGTAAAAGAGAACGGCAATAACCATCCGGGATAGGCATACCAAAAAAATCTTGATGGAGGAGGGGATGCCGAGATAAATTAAGGCAAAAAAATGTTCTAGATAGATGCAACGGTGCGCGATTGCGATTTTCGCTACGATGACGTCAAAGTGACAACGGACGATTTCAAAGCAATTTGTGAGTACTTGAGTTTTTATATGCAAAAAACTCACATTTTCATTCAAAGTCTCACCTTAAATCTTAGCAAAGGATGTTCAGAAGACTTCGTAAAAGTGCAGTTTTCGTTTGGATCACTCAAACTTCGAGCATTATTAGCTTTTAACACATTCACGACAAGGCCGATTTTTCGATTACTGCCGTTTCGGACCAGAGCCTTTTTTGCTTTGTCAAAGTTACGACCCACCCGTGGGTCGTATTGTCCGAAATGGTAGTCTTTTTGGAAAATTCAAAACATGCCTCCGAGAATTTCCCCACAAGAGTTATCGAAGACGCTGATTACCAAAATATGATCTATTTCAGTTTTTGGCGTATACGGTAAGGTTACGGTAGTCGTTCTACGAACCCCATGGAAAATTGTGTTTTGGGTTATTTCATGTGCTATCACGATTACAGTGTCCACTTTGTCCACTACTTTTCCACAGTGGGACTACGGTAGATTACGGTAGATTAGTACGGTAGATTTTCGTAATAATCAAGAAACTGATGTAAGAAGGCGGTATTAGAACTTGAGGCTGTCATTTTCGTAATCAGCGTGCTAAAAAACCTATATATGTAAGGTTTGAGCTTCCTAGGATGAACAATGCGAAATCAATAAAGTCAATAATTTTTGATGGGCTGACATCAGTCTCGTGCCCTCCCTGCACTTCTCGTGCATGTAGACTTGAATTTGCAAAACACACCACTCTGCGAAAAATTTGAGCAAATTCTGTGCTTTACCTCTATCAACGGTATACCTACGGTAGCATTACATTACAGCATCCCGAACCCGGACCACTCTGAATGGAACTTCGCCAAGGTGTCTCTAATCATGTGCTAGAACCCCGTAGAGTTCCATCGCATACTGGCAAATCTAGAGCCCCAGGAATCTTACGACCCACCGGTGGGTCGTATTGTCCGAAACGGCAGAACACGTACGCCCACCGCTGGGTCGTGTTGTCGTGAATGTGTTAAGAGAATTTTCCGATCTCAGATCTGAAATTCTGCGTCTGATCGTTCCTTGCGGACGAGTTTTCGCAAATTGGTATAGGTCTCAGACAAGCAACCTAACCTAAAAATGCAGTTTTCATTTGAATAACTCTCATTCCGCGCATTATTAGCTTTGTGAAAGAATTTTTCCGATCTCAAATCTGAAATTTTTTGATGGGCCTCTTGTGGACGAGTTCTCGCAAATTCCTAGCTCTCGGACAAACAACCTAACCTAAAGAATAGTTTTTTAGGCCGAGAAATCAAAATACTGCCGCTTCATCGCTATGCTGGCTGGTCATCATTGATATATGTACCCGGTAGTATTCGTATGTAAGTAAATATCGTATATAACACTCACGATAATAGTCTCTGAATTTTACATCTCTGGCCAAGTTTTTAAAAATCGTTTTCTCATCTACGAAATAGAAATTTCAGCGTCTTGGCAGTACTCGGACTTGTTCTATGCATTCTTACATCGTATATGATTCTAGATCGTGAACTACACAAAGAAACAGAAGTTGCTGTTTTTTTCAATAAAAAATCACTGAGCACTTTTTCTAAAAATATTTTTCAGGCCGAATCTTTAATACCAGCGATTCGTTCAATTATAAAATTCATGGAAAAGGCCAGTATAGCAGGGGACGGTAATTATTTTCAATTGTTCACATATTTCTGCAGTCATGCGTAAAGTGGCAAAGCAAAAACCGCTTGTTAACAAATAGCAGTCATGCGCCAAGTGACATAATGGACTTCTTCCTTTTACAAACAGGGGATTTTATAGTCAAGAACTTTTTTTTCAAAAACTAACGTCGATAACATATACTGGCAATTCACGTGGTGCCAAAAGAAAGCAGTTGCATCTACCACAAACCATGCCTCTAAGAATGCAACAGCTAGTAGCAGTTGTCCGCGCAGCTCAAACCCATGGGCCACACAGCGGCCTCCCGGTCAGCGCCAGTAGTTCTCCCACAATTTTTGGAACATAACCAGGGTTGGGCAAGAGGTCAGGCACAAGTCCTTTAAAAACGACCCCCCCCCCCCTTGTGAAAGCCTCTAAACGACCCCTCCGCTTCAACTCCACGTCCTCAGAGTATTATCTTTTAAAGAAGACCGACTTTCAACGCAGGTTTCTATTTTTAAAAGTCTGTAGGCCCGGCTTTCTGCGATTGCACAACACACGCAACGTGACGGCAAGTCTTGGATCTCGACAACCCTCTTTTACAAGCTAGAATTTTCGCAGGGATGGCGTGTTTGGCTCCGAATTTTCAATATAGCAAGAAGAGGCTTTGCGCTCAATACTCATACTAAAAAAGGGGCAATTTTTGAATATTGAAGGCTGTTAATGGGATCAGGCGCAACCCCTCAAAAGCTCAGGCGGCCTGACCTTTTGAGGGGTTGCGCCTGACCCCATTAACTTTATTTCCGAAGAAATTTTTTTACCCAAGTTTTATGTGATTGGCTAGCTCAATCCTAGAAGATTCAACAGTAAGTGTTTGAGCTTGAGTCGACTTGTTTCAGCCTTGTACTAATCCGAGGAGTTGAAGCACTCAATGTGAAAAACGTGCCGCTCGGACTTTTGGCAGCACTTCTTACTTCACTGTTTGAGAGCAATATGAAGCCTGATTTGGAGCATAGACTCTCAGTGAATATTAATTTGTTGTGAGTATAGAAAAGCTTACATTTTTCACTTTTGAAACCAAGTTAATCATGTTTGAAAATCACGTTTTTTGGACGTTGAGAAATACTAGAAAATGCAGAGGCAATGGTTAGTAGAGCGCATAGAGTAATTTGACGTGCTGATTACGGAAAGGATTCAGTATTTCACACAACAAGCTTCCTCGTCGACCTCATGATCTGCCAAGGTAAAATATGAAGCTTAAATTTTGGCTAACTTCGATTGTGGAAACAATCAGTATGCTGTTAACGACCGTCATTCCTTTAGTTGATTGCCATATCCACCGGATTAGCGCAATTCTTCTTCACCTTCGTAGTGTCTCCCCAGCTAAACTTCGATTTTTAATTACGACCCCCTCCCTCAGTCTTACCCTCAATACGACCCCCAGGTCGGGCGCGCCTGACCCCACGCTCAACTCTGAACATAATTCCTCCTCTCTGCCGACCTTCCTCTCCCCACTTTCAATTACATGTGAAGGCTCATGCCCCAACAGAGAGCAATAAAATTACAAAATGGAAAAGAAAAGCTGTTTATCAACAAATTTCTACAAATACCCTATTTTCAGGTGTATAAGCCGCACCCTTTTCACTCTAAAGGCGAACACGCCAAAAGACTGGCTGTCATCATGGAGCGCGTTAAGTGAGAGCAGTATGCGATAAGGCGACCGCTTCGCGAGACATATGCGCGGCGGCACGCCTGGGTCTGCTCGGGTTTAGAGCAAAAAGGGTGCGGCTTATACACCTGAAAATAGGGTACTTATTTACTTGAAAATGTGTTGATTTTTTAGCTTTTCCACCAAATTACGGTGAACCACGTCTATGCTCCATCCATAGGCCATTCTCTGTCGAAATGCTGGAAATTAAGAAGAAGGAGTTCAGGGCATTTGTGGCTCGAGCTTACTTGAATGGCACTAACAATCCAGTTACAAGGTCAGTGCAAATTATCGTATTGTTGCAAACCTTCCATAAGCTTTTTTAAACAGCCATCGCCCTTCTATATTGTTTTGCATTTTCAAATAATTAGCATTCTATAGACAAATATGCAGAGCATATGTAGGAGGATTGACCTATGTTACTTTGTAACACAGTTATTCCAGTCATTTGTTTTCATGCCCTTTAGATATTTCTAGTAGCAGCTGCAACGTTGATGTTCAAGAATTTCTGGAAGTTTCTAAATATACTACAAAGTTATTTGAAATTCTCAAATAGCTTTAAGGCCTGTCATTGTGTCTAAAAATATTCGCCTTTTACAATCTTTGGATTGCTGGGAGGCTTTTCGAATTCGTGTGTCAGATTACATACCGTAGCAAAATGTTATGCTATTTATATATAAGATACGGTAATTGGTTGCAGTGTCTTGAAACCTCGATTTATTAACTTGGCTTTGGAAAAGTTCGAAAATACCCTTAGGCAATTATAGAAATTTTTTGACGATCTAAATTAATATCTTCTGTAACGGAGCTTGACCGTCGTTGAAAAAAAGCATTTCTTTCAGGATTATGTCAATGCTTTTGATTATGTTTGCATTTGTATGTATGTTTCATATGTGGTACACAGCTTTTATGAATTCAACCTTGCAAAGAAATTCTTTCATTGTTGGTGAGTGCTGATCCTCTTGAAATTCGACCCATGACGATTACAAATAGTGTTTATCTACTACTTATTTACTGATATGTGAATATGCCAGTAAAGTATTTGTAAAATCATTTGTTGCGAGCTTGTAAGCTTATGGTTTTCAATAGATTGATAATTAGCTGATTGGAACATTTCACTTTGTGCTTTTGAGAATGAGACGTAAAGCCGGGCATACTTCACGCGATTTCATTCGCGACGCGATTTGGCAAGATTCCAACTGTCTATATCTCACTTTAAGTACATTTTAAATGTACAGAAGATAGGATATTTTATCAATCCACGTGAGTTATACACATTATGCATGCGCAGTTGCTAGTGGTGGATCTGAACGTTGGCGAATTGCCAAATCGCGTGAAGTGTGCCCGGTTAGAATGTGATATCTTGAAGTTTGAAATTACTTGTCTTTTCTATATGGAAGAGGTTTAACTATTAAGTTAAAGCAGGTCCGACTGTATATCGTAATTTTCGCTTTTGGACACGATGTCCACCTTGGTTTTTGAGGTATTAGAAGTCCTCTTTCGTTAGTACAACGGATCAATTCAGTTTCACTCCTTTTCTTCTCAACTTATTTTTATTTGAGCGTGCATTAGGAGTAGAAAAACAAACACTAAAAGCCTACACCAAATGCACAGTCTTTGGGCAGAGATAGGCAAGAGCAGCATAAAAATTTATGTCACTTGAAGATCGCAATAGAGACAACGGATTTCAATTAAGCCATTGACGACGATGTGGACCACCGGTGGCCCACACCTCTTGCAAAGTTATATCATTTGTAGGTTTAGTATTTTTTCCACATGTTAATATTTCTTCCAAGTTTTTGCACTCTGGGGCCTGTAGGCTCCGTTTCAAGATTATGTTCAAAATTGTTCACAAAACAACCTTGAATTTCGTAAATACCCACAAAATTCCCATACCGAAAGTGTTGTGCAAAATCGCGTCGTCCCTCAGCGCCGCCATGCAAAATTAGGCGTCGTCGTCAATGGGCTAAAAGAACGCTAATGAAGACTGCAGCTTTTGTATCATTTATTCTAAGACTAGGAGACGCGAGACCGCATTGCACACATTGTCTAAACAAGCCTAATCGTGTACTTAGCAGGTTTATACTTATTAATTATCTCGTCCAGGTTTATTCATTCTTTGGAAACAGGGAGAAACAAACTCAAACTTGTTGAGACAATGTCCGCAATGTGGTCTCGCGTCTCCTAGTTCGTAGAATAGATGATACAACTTATTACTTGAATAAACAGGAGAGCTAACGCGCTTTGTTTTCCTCTCATTGCTGGAAGTTAAATTGTAGAGCGCGCAGGAAGCCCATAACAGGTATTACTTCATTTAAGTTTCTAGCTTTCAATGTGACATTGTTGTAACAATACATGTGGTCTTTGATGTTATATCACCTTTGGCTAAAACATGGTTTGTTTACGCTGTAAATAACATCTGTTATCACAACACAATAAATTATGATTTTATTGTAAAAGAACATGTTAAAGCAGGTGCAACTTGTTAAGGGGAAAATGGGGTGTCAAATATGAAAAATCAAGTATATGCATGTATAAACATGACCAAATGTGTACGATATTCTTCTTTTCCTTTTATTTAACCGGGGGACGGTCAGGAGGTACGATCGGCGCGAATTTTTCGCGAACCGACGCCGCAACGTACTTCAACCAGTACGACAGCAGCACTCCAGGCGCAATGTTACTTATGGCGTGGAGTCATGTATCTGCCTCTACCCCCACCCCCGTGTTTTTGCCGCGTGGAATCTCTGATATGGGGAGCTCTATGGTTCCCAAGATCGGGACGCGGCGTGCGCGGCGAGGCGGCCGCCGCGCGCGGCGTACCTCCTGACGTGCAGCCTATTTAACCCACTGACGACGACGCCTAATTTTGCGTGGTGGCGCTGTGGGACGACGCGATTTTGCACAATATTTTTGGCGTGGTAAAACTTTGTGAATATTTACGAAATGTAAAGCTGTTTTGTAAACAACTACAGTCATCTCCTTGGACCATGAAGTCTGCAGGTTCCAAGAGTGAAAAAAAATTGGAAAAAATACTGAACTGTGGAAAAAATGCTAAACCTGGAAAGAATTTTGTAAAGGATGTAGGCTACCGGTGGTCCACATCGTCGTCAATGGGTTAAGTTGCTTTGGGACTTGTGACGACGCATGGGCATGTACGAAAGAAAAGCTTTCGAGGGTCAAGAAGGGTGGGGGGGGGAGACAAAAAGTCTCAAACTGCGCCACCTCGAGATCTTTCCAGATTCGTTCTACTGAGTACCACATCATAAGTGCATTCAGAATGATATCAGTATTGATCCGTATCATGTGGCGAGAAAATTAATGGCCTTCTCCAGCTGCACTTTTTACTCTGAATTTTTCGTTTCCATGCATTTTAGGACGAATCGATTGTCGATAACTGGTTTCGTTTTGTGCTTGATTAATTAATGACAAACAAACAAAGCATATACAGTACACCTCATAGGAATGAAAACTATTGGAAGGACTAAGTATGAACGGTCTAATATTTCGAAAATGAAAATTTGAGTTAGGGAATTCAGAAATTGACCTTGGATTTAGTTTTTCACTCGAAGTTAAATTTTATCGGCATAAGTATCAACGGATGTCGAAAATCAACTTTTTAGCTGAACATTCCAATTTCTACAGAGTGAGCATGCTAACCAATTTTGTGTCAGATGTCCGCCATTCAACCCCGTTGAGATTGATTATTGAATATTTAGCGATGCCATATCCAGTTTGTTTTATGGCTGCCGAACGTCATACACAATTATTAGCATTTCTCTTACCACTTGTCCTGCAAGCGTGCATTTTGTTCGAGTACACCATCTCCTTTACCAGGTATATATCTCTGCATTTTTTTATATCAAAAGTTCAAAAAAGGGCGTGGCGGGAGCCAAGCTCAGGTTGGCCGCAGCGCTTCAGCTTGCGCTCGTCCTACGATCTAACATGATGATACTCGATGAAACAAATTGCGTTTAACGTGTTTATTGCCCAAACAAAAATATGCAAGAGTCAACAAAGCATTATTTTACAGAAAAAAGCTTCATAATAAACAAACAGATAAATATTGCGATAAACACGCTAAGCGAGATTCATCAACTCTTTTCAAAAAAAAAAAAATCAGCTGCTACTCGATTTACTGGAGACAAATCATAAATCTGTATTCACAGTACTCGTTTCGTTTCAGGACCAACTGTACCTGTTAGTCCTTTCAAGTTCAACTAAGCGAAAACCTGGGCAGAAAGAAATTGACACAATATATTCAATTCTTCATTCAAATGCAAAGATTAATTAACAAATGAAAAATTATGCATGCATTAGCTAAGTAGATAAAGAGTAAAGAGTTTGAAAAATAGCGGCAATAACAAATAACGAAAATTTACACACTACTTCGGGAATTTATGAAGAATAGAGGATAGAAACTGAAGAAAGCAACGTATAGATCATAAATCATTTTCGTACTTACATTAATTTTACAAGGGATTGAGTGGAGTATACAGCGCACAGCGCTGAGTAACACTACTACTACAATCAAACTACTTCGTCACAAATTAGCAGCAGATGAGGCAAAACAAAAAACAGAGCAAGATAGAGCAATTGGAGCGAGAATACTGAACATATCACAGGTATCACTTTTACACTTCGCAAGACGCCCTAACACGTTTTTTGATTCTTGGAAAAAACTATAGGAGAGAGAAGAATTTTTTTAGCATGTAAATTTGGGGAGATATATTCCTACATTCATATTTCGGCTAAAGAGAAATGATAGAGGATAGACACCTACAAAACTGGCACAAATATGTATGGCGATGATTTCGAATGCCCCAAAAATAATATGCACATAAAATTTTCTGGAACAATTTATAGAAGAAAAAAAAACAAATCTGAGAGATCTGTGTGAAAAGAGCGCTGAGTTGATTTGCACCATAAATCCTTAAGTAGGAAATAGGAACGTAATTCAATCAGTACGCGATTTCGAACAACTTTTCAATGAAAACACACTACCAGCGGATGGAAGTGAGTGCGAGGAGCAGCAATAGTATCTGCGGCAATGGAAAAAAACATAGAACTTTCTCGTCGACGGCGGTCTGCCGATGCAGACTTGCAGAGCGTACGATGACGCGCGTGCTGTGCGCGGCGGTCGCGCGCGTGCGTGCGCGATGCAGGCAAGCCGATCGATTACTGCGTTGGTGATGTGGTGGCAGTGATCGTTGGACTGTCGTTTTGCTTACGCGTTTTGTACGTCTTCGGCGGCAACGGTGGTGGTGTGTCAGGAGATAATGGCGACACGCTCGTACGTTGTAATGACGGACTGCCAATATTGCGCCTAAAAAGTAGATAGTTGTTAGAATACAAAAAATTATTAAAGCCTTTCCATTCTTCCAAATTTTACTCTAAATGCACCGTTCATCCAAATCTGAGGTTGGTGTGAGGTACTGGTCCAGTACAATAGCAGAGTCTCTAACTAATCAACTGCCCAAGTCCCGCTACAGGAGATGAATACTGAAGCGAAAATAATCGCTTTGAAAGGTGGATGCTGCGAGGTCGCCACGCCCATTAACGTGTGCGGCCTAAAGTTAATGAGCAAACTAGCTCTCAATAGTAAGTAGCAATAGATAAGTCATTTATTGTGACAAAAAGAAAGATTCTGGACATTTCTGGGCGCTCTAGAGCCCATTTTCGAGGGTATTGTCTTTAAACCTCCACACTCTGTAGGCGTGGCGACCCCAGCAGCATCCAGCTTCTGAAGCAATTTTCTCGCTTCTAAACACACCTTTCGCAGTAGAACTTCGGAAATTGTTTAGTTGAGCTACTGTGCTGCAAAAGCTTACCAAACTCATGTAGATTTAGGTGGACGGTCTTTTTGCTTGGATAAGAAGTTTTAGAAGAAAAAACTACACTCACGTTTTTGGCGGTAACGGCGGTGGTGTTTGTTGCGCGGCCGTACCACGTCGAGGTGGTAGCGCTGGTGGCAACGGTACGGACAAACATACTGTCGGTGAACTGGATTCACTGGATGGCCTAAAAATCACAAAATTCACGGATCATATCATTTCGTAAGAATCCTCTAAAACTCTCTTACCTGTCCAAAACTACTCGCAATTGTTCATTACTCATGGACATAGCTCCAGGTGTGGTTGACGTCGAGCCAGTTGCGGAATGACGTGGCGGAAGTGCAGGCGGTGGCGGAGAATCCACAGTTGGAAACACAAATGCTTGCGGGGCGTGATCTGTAAGGGGCACAATGAGGTCATTGGGACCAAAATAAAAAACAACAAACTAAAGTATTCTCAATGGGGTAGAATAACAAATCTCGCCGACAGGCGCCTCCTCTGCGGACTACTGGCCCTTCTATACTTGATACGACATAGTGTGTCAGGACCAGTAGCTCAAAGGCCGCGAATACGGCTGCCGTCCCTCTATCCCCATATGAAACCATTTGTCCTACAGACATAACAGGAACGGCACCAACCTCCTGACATTCTCACAGGTGTTTGTGGAGATCGACTTGACGGGGACGAGTTTACCGGTACTCGTCGTGGGTACAAAGGTGGAGCTGTAGATGGTGCAGGTGAGGTTAGCGCTGACGATGGTGCTGTTGACACCGCACGTTGTCCTTTTCGGGGGGCAAGTGGTGGTGGTTGGAGTTGGCCTAGAAGAGAAAAAAATCACATAATATGACGTCTATGGACGAAAAACCTTATTATTCATGTCTTACCAATTTTATGCGTTCGTCTCGGTACGTCACCGACAAATTTCGGATGTTGACCGGGTGTTATGTCGACCAGGGAAAAATGCGCATCTTCAGCATCTGGTGGTGTCAAAATTGGCGGTCGTGGTCTGAAATTACGGACTCAATCGACTGGCAATCAAGACAATGACTTTCGTAGCCTGGTGATGAGAAAATCATTAACGGAAGTGCTCTGCCACATCTTCTCCCAGCAAGTATTTATCAAAAGTCATGCCCACTCAATCAATTTCATTCAGCCCACCCCTTCCTTCCCCAAAACTAGTCACACACAAAAGATTCGAAACAAATCACAGTACAAGGTCTCTGCACGTCACCCACTTTGTACCCAAAGTTCATTCTGAAGCCTTAACCGATCAGATTGATCAAAATCAGACCCGCTATCGTATGATCCACTTCGCTTACGCTGACACCCACACATCAATCATTCAGTAACCAGTACCCACTGCATCAAACACACTGGGAAGCCGATTCAGTTCCGGATTTCCGGTGCATATCCAGTTCCTCTCTGCCACATCTGGGACTAAGCGATCGAAATGCGCCGCAGATAAGGGGTTTTTAGCAATTTTTCTTCGGCGCGGAGCAGATGTGACAGCGCAAGCAAGCGCAGGGGATTTATAAGCCACCAAATGGGATAGCAAAAGAGGCTCTGAAAAAAGTTGTAACGCAAATTTTTCAATCGGAAGAAATTTTGGGCGAGATAAAGAGGAATTTTGTGGTAATCTCCTAAGGAATGCAGCAGACTAAAATCATGGAGTGGAGCAACTAGTGATTCGATAGCCATAAGCCTCCTTAGATTTATGGCCTAACAAAAAAAATGCGGAGGCTACAGTAATCCTAAAGTATCTATACAGTGATCTACTGTAGCCACTTGCTAAAGGCCGCAATTTGTCTCTTTGAATTCCTGATCAGAGGAGGATGACGCAAAGCCTACAGTAAGCTACAGTAACCATAAAGTAATCTACAGTATCCACTTCCTTTAGTTTAAAGGTCGCAAGTTGTTGCAGATCAGCAACAAAGAGATGTGAGATGTAAGATATCCAAATTCGGCAATAAAACAATTCGAAAAGCAGAATTTTCTAGACAATTCTGAAATTTTTCCAAATACAAGTGCAGGAGAACCACTACCACGACTGTCTGGTTTTTCAAAAGGATGCAAACTGGTTATAAAGCAGACAAAGAAAAAAACCTAGAGTGATTTTACTACCGACCGGAACGGGGCAAAATGTGGTAGGTAAAGTTCCGGTCAAAATGATTTATTTACCGCATGTGTCTCGCGCGCTGCCGATTGTGATGGTGGGTAGGAGGAGAACAGAGGACTATGAACGCGAAAAAAAAACTGTCTGAAGTGTAAATGACAAACAATAGGGGGTACGGGTACAATGATTGAGTGTCATTCAATAATTTGAGTGGTTGCGTGATGTGTAGGGGGTAAACAACTTGTAGCGGAAGCTACAGTACCCCATTGTTGGATAATCGTCATAGTTCGCTCAACTTGTCCCGCCAAGTATAGTAGCAAAGCAGATGCAAGTTTTCCCTTCAGGACCACCTTTTCAACCGATTACAAGATAAGCCCTAAACGAACAACCAAAACTAACCCTTCTCCATCTGGTCGTGGTGTACTTGGTGCCGTCGACGATTGTGTACTATAACTTGAAGCTGCATGATGATGACTTGCTGAGTAGTGATTCGTTTTCGGCGGTTTAATTCCTGGCGATTTTAGCACATGTAGTGCTCGTTTCGGCTTCTGTAACAAATCCACATAAATTATCCTCTGGAGAGGTGGTCCTACAACGAGAAACTTACCACATCAGGAATCTTATCAGCATCCTTAGGCTGAACTTTAAGTGATTTTTCGTATAGATACGTTTCTAACGCATCTCCGTCATTGTTGAAATCGCTCTTCGGGTTGATCGACTCGAAGAACTCCTGAAAATCAATAAATAGATTAGATGAAACGGGAAAAATAAAAAATTTTCATCAAAACTCCCTCCTTTACCCCACCCTTGAAAAAAATTCTACCTACACAAAATCATGCAGCATTTTGTTTTTTCAGCAATGCTGCACAATATTTATATAGGCGAAAGTTTTGCAAAGTGAACTACTAACCCAATTCGCCTAAAAAACTTATTACTTAAGACCAAACTAACCAAAATTTACCTTAAAACGTTTCATATCTAAACACAAGTGCGAACGACAATCCCAGGAACAGCACGCAGTTCAGACTGCTCATTCATTCACCCCTTTTCTTAGCCCAACAATAAAAAAAACCTGTCACATGATATCGATTACTGTTCAGGTACATTTCATTTTCGTTTATTACACTATAGACTTTTGCTGCTGTTCGTTTAACACCAAAAAAACCCATCGGAAGTGCCACCCATTTACAAATTCCCTTTTCTAATTTTTTCCATAGTACAAGCTGATTACTTTAACGTCTGACGGTGTGATTGGAGGCGATTGAGGACAGCAGCAACATAGATGTGCGGACAACATTGTCGCATACCAAAATCTCGGTGTACAAAGGGTTCTGTAGTGATGTGCGAGTCCTGCAGAATTTCAATGCTACCGTAGGATTTCTGACGAGATATACGGAATACACAGCGAGACGAGGTATGATTTACGCATATGATTGAGGCTTCTAGAAAGAGATAGAAACTTTCTAAGATCGATAAACGAAGAGTATTTTTCGCATGATTGATCATCACACATTCCATCATTGGAACGTCCGTTGAAGCAGAACGCGTTCGCGAAAGAAAAAAGTGGGTAGGCATAGACCAAAGCAGGTGGGCGGGTTTGTGATTGGGGGTAAAAGAATGTGTGCAGCGAATGTGTGTATGGTGTGTAAACCTTCTTGCTGGTGCCGTCCTGGCTGCGCTACACGACCACTTCCGGTTGAATAATGCACAGTGTTTAGCAAATGCCGAGACTTTTTCATAACATTAGTCATAGGGTAGGATGAAAAAGCAGTAGAGAATCGTCAAGCAAAGAAAATGTAGCCTCAAAAACTCAAGCACTCCCTTTCCATTACTATCTTATGACAAATAGAGTACGAATTCGCAACGCAATCGCATCGGTGCGATATCGTACCGCGTTAACAATGGATATGAAGAAAAACTCTTCTCACATGATCATCGTCTCAAAAAAACCGTCGTTCTTAAACAACAATGATCGTAGCGCAGAATAGAGAGCGTGACCGGAAGCACGCGATGGATTTGATGGAGCCGCCAGAGCTATTTGTTGATTGTCAAGGTGACTTTGGTCTTAGGACTTCAATAACAGTATTATTCAGAAAATTTATGTGTAAAAAGGGCAAACGCATAAAGGCCGAGGTCTATGCGCTACTATATAAGAATAGCCTGTGCCACAAGCATTTTATACATCCTTGAATCATTTGTATCTCGATATGTGAGTCTGCACACAATGCGCGGCAACCGACGACACCCTTACTGGTAACTCATTAGTGAAACCTTTTCTAGCGTAATAAGCAGTAGAACTGTTTATTACTAACTAATACAAACCAAGTAGATCAAAAGAAGCAAGAAAACAAGGTGGAATCATTGGCAATGAGCAGGTCCTAATCTTGCATGTCGTCAGGTAGTGTGCATGGTGTGCAGGCACATTAAGCTACAAATGATTCGACGGTATTGTGATTTGGATTACGTTAATTAATTCCACTTACATTAGCAATACCTATTAATCACTTCAATTTGGAAACATAGGAGCAGGCCATAAATTTCTATTAACAGTCCCATTGAAAGTTGCGAAAGTACAATTTTTCCAGAAAAAGTGTGTGTGGGTGTAATTCACGTGCACGCGCACTGAACACAAAACCTGCTCCTAAGCAAACATTCTCGTAAAGTTTCAGAGCGAAAAAAAAGAAAATTTACGAGAACGACGGTGCTGGGTGCAACCAACCTACGCGCAACGCGGACGTGTATGCATCAGACATCCATTCATGTTGTCTGTGCACGTACACACATGCACGAAATGACACATACACGCATACATCATTAGAGATCAGTGCTAGTCGACCAGAAATGTAAAGCCAAGCTGTGCACATGCTGCTGCACACAGCGAGCGAGCGCGACAACTGTTCATTATCGTCGTTGATTCGCAGAAGAGGCGTGACCGCACGTCGCGACCGCGATCGTGTTCGGTCGTGACCGCAATCGCGTACGTGGCGGCGATATGCGCGACGGAAACTTGTTCCATCGGCGCGAAACGGACGCGTACGGAAGCGCGTTCAGATGTGGGTGCGAGCGCGACACGTCGCCAACTTGTTAAGCGCGCAATCATGCGTGGACTAACACGTTCGAACGCGCGCAACAGTACTTCCGGCGACGATAATCGCTGATCAGTTTGATCTACGCAGGAATGCGTGCAATGCAAATCTGCAAATGGGATTACTGTAGGTTACGGTAATGCCCTGCTTGATTGAAGGCTGACAGCGGGTTTTGGAGATTATAGTTCAAATCAATATCAATCAATAATATGTTGATAAACTATATCATGCATGAAAACTACCACTCTTCTCTATTTTCACACATATCGTCCCACATTCGATCGCTTACAGTAATCTCAGCCAAAACGCGATTTCTAGGTCAAAACTTGTATGACCGATCAACGATTCACATGGTGATAAATCATATCGAATTATGCAGACATAAAAACATGCACCATCCCATGTTACCACAGAATAACATGCAAAAGAATCGGAAGTCGCAGTTAAGGAGGGGGCAAAATTAGCCCACTACGGGGAAAATCATCTAATCTTGATCAACAAATAATCGCGTAATTGAATTTGAAGGCCGCGCGCGTGCTATTCTTAGATAAGCTCATCCTATGTGCAATTCGAAAAGATACCGTACCATTAGCGAAAACAAAGCACCCCACCCAAATAGGCTTAAATGTTTCTAGTTGAGTCATTCTGACAATCAGAGTCCAGTTATTATTATATATTATTCACTTCCTGTTTCTCTCTACCAAACTCTTGCGTAGATGAACTTTACTCTTTCATTCTGACCGATCAACAATGAAAATAGTGACAGACATGGATGTCTGGTATTGGGACCACTCATACAGCGATTTTTCATTGAAATATTGAGTTAGGGAAAATGCGAGGATCTAGATTGTCACGACAAAACTGGATCAGGGGAAATCGCGCATGAGCTTTCACGAGAGATTCATGCGGATATTGAGCAGAGTCTGGGCAAGAGCAGAGTTTAAGAGCAGATATTGGAGAAGCGAGGCAAGGGGGGAGTTAAGTCCAGAAAGAAAACAGGCATTTATTCTAGAGTCGCTATATTATGGGGTAGAGAAATAAGAAGCCATTTTGGGCCGCTCGGAAGAACTAGTGTCCTCTAAAATGCAAAACTATCGCAACACTCACTTGTTCCTGGAAGCCCAAAATAGAGGAGTTCGTTTCCCTAACCAATTCTACTTTTCCCCTCGGTTTCCAAATTTTGCACAATCTTTCCCGGAAATTATTATTGACGAGAACATCCAATTTAGCCAGACAGAACAGGACCACATGATCACACAGCTATCTCGTGATCCCAGGACATTGGAGCTATCGGTTCCCGGGAACAGCCGTCCGGAAGTGAGAGACTGAGAGCGGGAGAGGGAGGTGAAGGAGGAGAAGGTGGCGAACCAAAACGAACAAGCTCGACGAGGGCGGATTGTGCAGCTGCAGACGTGACACTGGGCCATAAGTAGCCAGTAGAAACGGCTAACTGTCCCGTGTGGGAGTTTTAAAGGGTATTAACTGCACTCACAACACATTGAGGGCATATGGCACAAGTGTATGTGACTCCTCCACACACAAAATTTGCCAGCCTCTGCTAGTGCAATGGGTGCCACGGCCTTGCCGCAAGTTTTTGCTTTTACTTCCGGGAAGAATACCTCAGCTGCTTCACTCTCTGTGACTGCGCAGCTGCTGCTGTTTAAGCTCACAGCACATGTAACTCTGTGGGCGAGAGTTATAGCCGCTCATAACTGCACAAATCTTCGAGGAAAATGTGGGTGAGGGAGGGGAGTGTGAGGGTGGACAAGAGGGAGAAGCACAGCTTGCAATTAGCAATAAGTTTACAGTGTAATGATAGGGCAACATAAATTCTTTAGCTCCGGAAACGATGGGTGGATGTTTATCATCTATGCAATGGCAGAAACAGATTCTGCGAAAACAATGAAAAATTTGCCTCGAACAGAAATTTCAAATAAGCCGATAAGGGGGGGGGGGAAGGGGAGGAAGAAAAAATCACCTGCGTTGCAAGTTTTGCAGATAGTAGAGGATATACCGCTATTTCAGGTCGCCACTGCGGACTACTACTGGTCCTTCCACTCATGCTATTGCGTTTCGTGTAAGGACCTGTAGTTCCCGGAGGCGGCACCTAATGGTGGTATTCGTTCCTTTATCCCAAATCTGCAAGGCAGCCCCGATTTGAACAAATTCAACGTTAAAAAGCCAAGAAAAACTCATTTTTAAAGGAAGTGCAGAAAAAGTGTACAAATATTGAGTGTAACGCTTTTTTCTACATAATTTTTTCCTCTTCTTCATATCTGTCAAGTTTAACAGCTGTTTCCTGTCCAAATTTTTCACAAAAAAAGTTCTTACACAGCCGGTACAACCTGGAGCTAATTTTCTACAATTACTCAAGAAATTGCCGCAATTTCTCATTCCTTCCCACCCCAAACCCACCTCAAAAACCTCCCAATTTCTCAACCAGCTTTATAATCTACTTCCCACGTCACTTTCCTCTTCGTACATTCCGTGCGAAAATACATCTTCATCACACCGGAAGTACTTAGAGAAACTGATGAACGGCCGAACGATGAACGTGCAGTTCGAGGGGGAACCGGTCTACACTTCTAGCACCACACGTACACCTATACACCCATAACGCATACATACAATTGACACACTCTAT